CCTTGGGCTCTGGCTCGCTGTTGCTCGCCTCCTGGCTTCACGGCTCCTGGCTCGCACCAGCTCTCAGGTGCCCTTTGGGATTCCTGATCGGCGGATCGGGGAGGACGCGTTTAAAACTTTGTCTCCCGCTTTTCTCCCTGAGCTGTCCATTTCCTCACTTCCCCTGCCCTTGTCAATAAACCTTTTACTAACCTTTCGCGTGTGCCTGCAGTGGAGCATGGATAAGTCCTTTTAAGCGCGCGGGTGAGGACCCACAGTCAGGCACCCCGTTTTGTATCGGGGCTGCTCTACAACAATTTGGGCACTGCCAAGAGGCTGGGGTCCCTGGGCCGGCCCCCCCACCCACAGTGGTGACAGGCCCTCGGGCAGCGGCCTCGGGCAGCGTCTCTGGCACGCGTGGCAGCTGCCCGTGAACCTGTCTTTATTTCCAGAAAAAGCGGAAAACCCGGCAGAAGGGGCTGCACAGCAGCATCTGGACTCCGGCCCGGCTCTAAGGCGCCGCTGCGGGCGTCACAGCCCAGCAGAGCCCACAGGGGCCGTCACTGGTGTGGGTTTGGAGGCGCTGGCTTGGGAGAGCGGGGTCCTCGCGGTCACTCGGGAAGGTCTCCCCAGAGCCCCTCCCCGCGGCGCCGGCGAGGCCCCGGCGAGCTTCTCCTGGGGGAGACGCCGGCTGAGGTCCCGGGCGGGCTCGCCGGGGAAGGGCCGGGAGGGGAAAGGCCGCCTGCACGGACGCCCGAGGGGACGGCTGCCCCGAGGGGACGGGTCTGCTGGGGCGGCCTGGCGGTCGCGGGCGGGGCCGTGGGGAGAGCGGCCTCCGCGGAGGGGCCGTGGGGAGAACCCGGCGGGCGCAGGCCGCGGGCGGGCAGGAGGCGGCCCTGGAGGGGGAGCTGGTGACAGGAGCCCGGCGCAGGCGCAGGCCCAGGCCCGTGTGGGGCGGCGCTGGGTTTTGTCCTTGGGCAGCGGGGCTCTTCCTGGCGGGCGGCGGTTTGCGCCTTGACCTCCATGTTGCCCCCTTCGGGTTGGCAGCGGCTCCCTGCCAGGCCCGGTGCTCCCTGGTGCCCCCTGACCGAGGCCCTGGCGCCTGACGCCCTCACTTTCTGCCGCTGGGTCCCGCGGCCCCCCCGGGCGTGGCAGGCTCCTGGCCGTGCGGGGCTCCTCGTCCGCTCTCTCTGCACTGGCGGCACCCGCCCGAGCGGGACAGCGCTTCTCCCGCTTTCCCCTCACAGGGGTGGGGCCCAGCTGTCTGCCGGCGTGACCTGTGACCTTTCACCTCTGCCCTGTCCCAGGGGCTTGGGTGCCTCATCAGCACCGCACCCACTCACCGCAGACTGGCCGCCTGCCCCCTCCTGGAGACCCCTCCCTGCAGGGCCTGCCAGGGCCCGCCCGGGGCTGCTGCCATGGCAGGGCCACCCTGCAGGGACCCGGCCTCCCTGAAAGGTCAGTCCCCTGCCTCAGGCCCAGGGGAGAACCTGTCCGGGCCCGCCCGCCCGCCCGCCCGCCCAGCCCCTCCCCTCCCAGGGCGCCTCCCTACAGAGACATCCCCAGGGTCCCGGGGACCCCCTGTGCTGCAGGAGGCCGTGGCGACTCCCAGGCTAGCGTGGGCGAGTGGGCAGGGCCCTCTGGGCAGAGGCAGGTCCCGGGCAGCGGGCAGGCGCTGAGGACAGTGTGCCCAGGCGGCCGCCGGCGGCAGACCTGCCCGTCCCAGTCCTCGCGGCCGGGCCGGGGACCCCGTCCTCGCTTCGTCTGGCCTCCCGCTGGTACTGACCTCGTTCCCAGATGCGTCACCACGGACCCTAACAAAACTCACCCTTGGTGGACACCGAGCCCAGGGCGCCGTGGGCAGCGCCCCTGCTCCGGGGCGGGGTACGCGTCCCCCCATTGTCCCTGGGCCAACCGCGTCCCCAGCGCTCCGGAGCCCGCGTCTCCTGCCGGCACCGGCCCTGGTGGCCCCTGCGAACCTGCAGGTGGACGCCGTGGGGGGCCTGTCTCCTGGGCTTGGACAACCGGGGCGGGGGGGGCAGTGTCCTCCTGGGCAGGCTGGGCCTGGAAGCAGGGAGGGCCCATCTGGGGGAATGTTCTGGGAGAGGATCTGGGCTCCACCCCAGCAAGCCGTGGTTGGCAGACCCCACGTGGAGAGCCCCGGACTACAGAAGAGAAAGGTGGGCGGGGGGCGCTGGCTGCGCTGTGCGAGCTGCTGGACGGGCAGCCTGCTGGGGGTCCAGCCCCCTGGGTGTGTGGGAGACGCCGCCTGGCTGCGGGTGCCGTGGAGACCCCGGCTCCCCTCCCCGGGCCACCACCCGCCTTGGCTGGGCAGCGTGCGTCCAGCCTTGCAGGACAGGAGGCTGGAGCGCCTGGCCCGGTGCGGGAGGCTGTGCCGGAGTGGGTGCCCGAGGGTTTGTGCGGCCTGGGGCGTGCGGTGTGTGTGTGTGTGGGGGGGGGCGGGCTTTCCTGTTCTGAGAAGGGGCAGCTGTGAAACGGGCCCGCCGGGAGAGAGCAGAGCTCCCGGGAGAACCAGAGCTCGGCCTCCAGGAAGCTGGTGGGAGGGGAGACCCGGGAGCCGCCTCTGCCCAAGCAGGAAACACCAAGCGAGACTGGGGGTGCCCCCAAGCGGCAGGGCTGCCGGGCAGGGGGCGGGGCACCCGGGTGATCCTGGATCTGGGCTCGAGAGGCGCAGGGCCTGAACAACCAGCTGTGAGGTCATGGAGGGCGAAGCCGCGCGGGCCAGCTGGACGCCTGATTCATGGGGCGCTTCCAGCTCCCCAGGGTGAGTCAGGCCCAGCCAGTGCCTGGCCCAGCCCTGCGGGCAGCCCGTGCCATCCCTCCCGGACCGCACGGCAGCAGACCCGGCCCCTACTCGTCCGCGAGCTGGGTCTTCTCTGTGCCTGTCTCGGGGGAAACCGAGGCACGGTGTGGCCGGGTGCATGCCCAGTGCGGGCGGGCCTGGTGGTGGCCTCGCCCAGTGGGGCTGAGGTCCCAGCCTGGCGGTCAGGCCCTTTGGCCCGTGGCCTCCCTGGTCCACGCAGAGAGCTCCAGCCCTAGGCCCCGCCTGTCTCCACCGCAGGCCTGCCCTCCCTCCTCACCCATCGAGTGCGGCCTCCTGTCTACAGGCCCCGCGGCCACCGCAAGCGGGCAGGGGCTGCGCGCCAGGGTCGGTGCCCCCATGAGGACTCAGCTCTCGGGGCCACCTCTGCGCACCAGACCCGGCCGGTTTCCTGGAGTGGCCCTGAGCCCCTACTCCCCGGCCGGGATGTCCACGTGAGCTCCAGCCTTGGGGCCTCGCTCTGGTGTCCACTCCGCGGCCACCCCTGACCTGTAGCCCAGCAGCCTGAGCCTGGAGGCGCTCCCTTGGCGCCGACAGGCCGCCTCGGCCCTGCCGGCTCTGCCTGCGCCATCCCAGGCCCGTCCTGCCCTGCGGGGCAGCCCCTCGGCTCCCGTCCCGGCCACACGCGCTGCCGCCCGCTCCGCGTGGGGGCCGGACCCGGCGCAGGGCTGTCCACGGCGGACGGGCGGCCGGCTCGGCCCCGGGCAGTGTGCGGCGGCCCCAGGGGGACTCCAGGCCCTGCCGGGGCTGGGTGGGGGGCCGCGGCCCCAGCTCCGCTGTGCCCCAGCAGCCCCGCGGGCGTCGGGGGAGCTGCTGGGGCGCTCGGTGCAGCGCAAGCGGCTGCCGGCGACTCCAACCCTCGCTGGGGTCCCGCCGCCACGCGCGGGCGGCTCCCCGGCGGGCAGGAGGCCCGAGCAGGACACCCCCGGCTCTGCGTGGGGCCCGGGGAGGCGGCCGACGGGGGGGCGGGGGTCCCCTGGCCCAGGACGAGGGCGCCGCGGCCGGAAGGGCCCCCCACCGGGCCGAGACGCCGCCTCGGCCGTCCCCCCCGCGCCGGAGCCCCGCTGCACCCGCCGGGGTCCCCTCGCCGGGCTGGGTGCGGGGGAGCAGCTCGGGCTGCCGCAGCCCGGGGAGCTCGTCTCGGGGGCGGGGGCGGGGCCGGGCCGGGGGCGCCGCGCACGTGCGCGCGGGCGGCGGGGAGGGCGCGTGCGCGCCGGCAGGCGCATGCGCAGAGCAGCGCGACCCCCCCCCCGGCGCCCCCTGCCGGCCGCGGCGGGAGCCGCGCGCCCCCGAGCCCGGAGCGGCCCCCCCGCCCCCCACCGGGCGGGGCCCGGCGCGAGGGGGTGGGAGGCGCGGCCCGCGCCCACCCTCCGCGCGGCCTCCCGGCCCGGGCGCCCCGACACCCGGGGGAAGGGCCGCCGGCAGGGGCTCTGGCCGCGGGGTCCCGCTCCCCGCCGGGGCCCGCCGCCCCCGCCCCGTCCGACGGCGCCTCCACACCCCAGCCGGGACCCCGAGGCCGCAGGGCTCCCCGGTCCCGGTGGCGGCGCACGCGCTCGGGCGGGGGGCGCCCGGGGGGGGCGAGGAGCCCCGCGGCGCCGCTGCTCTGGGGCTCCCGGCTGGAGGGGCGCGGCCGGCGCCCCCGCGAGAGCCGCCCGACGGCCAGGGGGGCGGGCCGGGCCGGGCCGGGCCGGCGGGCTCGGAGGCCTCGGAGCTGGCGCGGACCGTCGCCCCGGCCGCCCGCGCCCCCGCTGGGCCCCCCGGCCCCCCGGCCCCGCGCGGGGCTGCGAGGCGGTGCAGACACTTAATTTATTACCCAAATTAAGAAATTATACACTTTGCTGTGATAATGGTCATTGTCTTAAAAGCGTCCTTCGCGTCCGCGGGGGCTGCGCGCGGCGGCCTCGCGGGACTAAAGTGCCGAGGGCCCCTCCCGCCGCGGGGGGCGCGGGGCGCGGGGCCGGCGGGCGGGGGCAGCGCAGGCGGGGCGGGGCGGGCCGGGCCGGGCCGGGCCGGGCCGGGGGGGCGCGGGAAGCGCCTCCGTGAAGCGCCCCGGCTTGTAAACAGCGCGCCCCGCCCGGGCCCCCGCGCGAGGCCGTCCCGGGCGGCGTCTTTGGTTAAGCGGGAGCCGCCCCCGGCCCGCCCGGCCCCCCCGCCCCGCCCCGCCCCGCCCCGGCCCGGCCCGGCCCGGCCCGGCTCAGCTCAGCTCGAAGCCCGCCGCGCACTCGATGGCGTAGAGCAGCTTCCCGCGCAGCAGCGCCTCATCCTGGAACTCGGGGAGCTTGAGCAGGTTCATGCAGGTGCTGGCCGTGGGCAGCCGCTCCAGGTCGGAGCCCCCGTTGTGGATGCAGAAGGCGGGGTACAGCTCCTGCAAGGGGCGCGAGGGCCTGAGCCGGGCGCGCCGCGGGGCTCCCTTCGCCGGCGCGCCCCCCCCAGGCCTCACCCCGCCCCGCCAGGCGTGGAGGTCGGGCCAGAGGCGGCCCGCGGCGGCTGGGAACGCAGCGCCCGGCAGAGGAGAGGCCGCATCCCAAGGGGCGCAGTGGGGGCCGGGCCAGGGTCGGGGCTGGGGCACCCGCGCCCGGAGCCGCCAGGCCACGTCTGCAAGGCCGCGCCCACCGGCCCCTGCCCGGGCTTGGGGGGAGGCCACACCAGCCAAGGGGGCTGCACTGCTGAGCCCGGCACCTGGGCACCAGGCCCTGGGGCAGCGCAGGCCCTGGAGCGCAAGCGAGAGTGTCACCCCCAGGCTCAGCCCCTTGGGCACAGGGGCGGGGCCCACCCGGGCTCGCCCCGCACGGACAGTGCGGCCTGCCCTCCGCCGTGACCAGAACCCAGGCCCTGCCGCTGGGGTCCCCTGTCACCCTCAGTGCCCTGGGGTTGAGAGGAGCGCCCGCCCCTGTGGCTGTGGGTCAGGGGTGGGGGGTGGGGGAGACACACGACCCAGCGTACCTTAAAGCCCAGGAGGGGGGGGCGGGAGCAGCTCGTCACAAACTTGAGCAGCTTGCGCTTCTCCTCGTCCGTGAAGCCCTCCACCACGCGCCAGAAGACTCTGATCACGGGGTGGTCGGCAGAGTAGCCTCCTGGATGGCGGGACGGACATTGAGGGCCGGGCAAGGGCACATGGAGTCCCCCCAAGGCCGGAGAGCAGAGGGCCCGGCGTGAGTCCACCCGGCACAGTCGCCTCTGGGGCAGGCCTGCGAGGCACCCTTGGGGACAGACCCTGGAGGGGCCGGGGCCGGGAAGGGGGCGCCAAGGGCTCCCGGCAGAGCCACCTTGAGGACTTGTGAGGCCCCCTGAGCCCACAGGTCGGAAGGGCACGGCCCGAGCCCCTGGCCAGGTGCGGGCGGGCTCAGCGCGGCCCCGGCCACCTCCCGGGCCGCAGGGCCTCCCCCTGGAGCTCTTCATCTAGGTGCTCCCTCAGCCGAAGTGACGGTGAGCCACTGCCCCGCCTGCCGATATGCCGCAGAGTAACAAGGACGAGTGTCTCAGGTGCACCGACCACGTGACCACGCTCACACTCCGGGCTGCGGGGGGCCGGGCAGGCGTGGCAGTGGGGCCAGCTGCCCTCTTGAGCGCCGCGGTCCAGCTCCGCGCCTGCCACCGGCCGTGCCCACCGCCGGCCCGCCCAGGAGTGGGTGCCCACCCTGTCGGAGCCACCGCCACCTCGGACCTCAGCGGCCCAGCCGCACCCTCACCGCGCCACCAGCGCCCCGTCTGTCCCCCTAGCCGCGGCAGCCTCCCGAGGGCCCTGGGTGCTGCGTGTGACCGGCAGGGACACCCTCGCCTCACTGCCCGGGGCGATGCCCACGGGACAGCGCTGCAGCCAGCGTCCAGAGCCCCTCCCGGGACCCACACGCCCACACTGCTGGGCCTCCGGCTCCCGCCAGGCCGGCTCTGAGGGCCAGCGCCCACCACCGACTAGGGCCCAGCTGCACACCCCGGCTCCGACCTCGGCCGGTGGGCAGAAGGCCCGGGCTGGGAAGTGTTCACGCTTTTTGACGAGGGGGGATGTCCGGCCCTGTGGGCTGTGGACGTCCACTCAGGCCCTTTGCCTACTGTCTGCGACTGGGGCTGCCTACCAAGGCCTTAGCCGCAGGGACCTTGGGGGGCTCTGCCTGAGCCGCCCCCACCCCCAGGCTTTCTCGCCCCTTTTCTGTTTTACTGATTTTTAACCTCCCCCCCCCCGCCCCCGCGCCCCTTCCCTGCGCCCTCGCAGCGTCTGCGGCAGTCCACCGCGCACTGCTGGGTTTGCGTCTTTCCATGTGACTCGCCTGACCCCAGGGGACTCCCTCAGCCTCCCGCACCCAGCTGCCCCCTTCCTCACGGCGCACACCACAGCACGGTGTGGAGAGGCCAGTCCTGACCAGGCCGCCGCGTCCGGGCTGCTGTGGACGCTGAGGGGCTCACGGGGTCCTGTGCTGGCTTCATCTTCTGGGGCTGCGGCTGGTGCGGGCGCTCTCCCCTCCTCTGCAGCACCCGGCCGGGGCCTCTGGTGGGTGCTGCCTCCCGGGCGCGCGGCGGTCTCACGGTGCGGTGCCTGTGACCTGCGCCCCCAGAAGCCGGGCGGGGGATGCTCCGCCCACCTCTCAGCTGGGCGGGCTGCGCCTCCTCCATCTTGCATCTCAGTTCCATTGTGTTTCCTTCCAGCGACAGGTGTGTCCTTAGCTGCCTTGTATTTACCGTCACTGCCCGAGAGCTTTTAATCTGAGGTCACTCAGATGTTTTGTTTTTAATTCCCTTGCCATAAGGGTCTGGTCACCAAAGCCTCTCAGGCCTGAGGGCCGGATGCACCGCCAGAGCTGCCGTCCACGCACACTGCACTGTCCCAGCTGCTGCCCACTGGGAGTTCGCTCTGGCGCTCTGGTTCACGAATGGCCCCACTCGCCGTCCCGACGCCGTCCTTCCCACTGCGTGGCCGCAGCTGCCGCCCTACATCAGGCGCTGGCCTGCAGTGGGCTAGTTTCTGGGCCTCAGGCCTGTGTGCTGGCCCGTGTGTCTACTTCTGTGCCAACACCATGTTGTTTCCGAGGCTGCTGCTGTATAGTAAAGCTTGGACCCACTCTGCCCTTTCGACCACTGGCTTGGCTCGTTGCTAAGAGTTTCTCGTTAAGAGTTTTTTCTCACGGGCCTCCCCGGGGGCGCAGCGGCGGAGCGCTGGGTTGCAAAGCTGCCCGCGGCCTCTGCAGCGCCAGTTCGATCCCCGGCTGCTCCCCGGCCTCCGGAGGAGGGTCCCGCATGGCGCGCGGACCTCTCCTGCCGCCCACTGCTCCCCTCAGCAGTGTCCTTCGGTCCTTCTGCCTGCTCTGCTCCCCGCTCTGGCCCTGGTGAATTCTCTCACCCTCCCGCGCTTCTGACTGTACCCAGTGCTTGTATAAACAAACAAACAAACAAATAAATAAACATGCCTCTAAAAAAAGAAAAAGAAAATGCATACATTGTGCAAAAATGAAAAATGATGTAAGAATTATATAAAATAAAATATTAAAAAAATTATTTAAAAAAAAAAAAAGAGTTTTTTCTCAGGCTTCCCTGGGGCCTAAGGGTGAGTCTCAGGCTGTCACCACTGAGGCCTGAGTCCATCCCCGGCCAGGGAGCTACCCACAGGGCTCAGCAGACCTCTCCTGTCTCCCCGCTGCTCCCCTCAGCAGTGTGTTTCAGTGGATCTGCCTGTTCTGCTCCCCACTCTGTCTCTGGGGAGTCCTCTCATCCCCCTTGCACCTCTGGCCTGCACCCCATATTTCTTTTTTTAATTTATACAAGAGCTGGGGTGCAGGCCAGAGGTGCAGGGTGGGGTGTGTGTGAGAGGATTCCCCAGAGACAGAGTGGGGAGCAGAACAGGCAGACAGAGCAAAGTACACTGCTGAGGGGCGCAGCGGGCGAGGCAGGAGAGGTCTGACGCGCCATGTGGGAATCTCCCTGACTGGCTGTGAATCGAACCTGTGCTGCAGAGGCTGCAGACAGCTCCACGGTGCGGTGCTCAACCCGTTGTGCCACCGGGGAGGCCCCTGCACCCCATTTTTCTATGCAAAAAAAGTCTCTGTATCACAGGTACTAGACCATCACCAGAGATGCGGCTCCCCAATGTTCCCCCACGGCTGGTCCCCACTTTCCCGATGACACCCTCTGGCGCAGAACTGGCGATTCCGCCGTCTGTGGGCTCAGCCCGTCGCTCGCCCTGAGCAGGACAGAGAGGGCGCGGCGGGGCCGCCGGGGCGCTGCTGGCTCTGGTTTGCTCTCCGTGCCCGCGTTCTGAGCGGGTGAGCCTGCGGTTCTCTGCGCGTCTGTCGGCCTCCGAAGCCAGCGGCCCCTCGTCTTTGAGGAAAGAACTCTCTCCTCGGCCCTAGCACAGGTCTGAGCAGACGTGGCTTTATGGGGCGAGTATCACGATGACAGAAACTTAATTTCAAAGTATTCAGGAAGAAAAGAAAGTCCAAAGAAGGAAAACCACCTATCACGCCATCAGTCGCAGAAGAAGACCGTTAACCATTACCTGAAGCTGAAGAGGCTGTAAGGTTTCCTTGCTTTGAGAAAGCAGGAGGCGTGCACGGTGCACGATGTCGAGGCAAAGGGAAACACGACTTCTAGACCTTGAAAAATGACCCGTCCTTCGTGTCCAGATACAAAGGTCTTTGTATCCTCCCCCCGGCAGGAGGCCGCACGGCGCACACCGTGTCACGGCCTGGCCTAGTTAAGGCTACATTTTAAAATTTCGAAGCAAAAATCATGTCTAAGATTAGCTCTTTTTAGAAGTCCAAGCCTGTGGTAAAGCAGGAAACTCGCTCCCGGTGTCACGTCGGGTTGACGACATTTACGATTCTGTAGTTTCCCGCGCTGAGAAGCGCCCGGGAGGGGACGCCATCTGCCGCCCGCACCGACCGCGCCCGCACGTGCGCACAGTTGCCAGGAGTACTTTGCTCCTGGCTCCGCTCGCGAACAGGCCCCGCTCACAGACACGCCAGCTCCCCGAGACGGGGCAGCCGCCCTAGCCCATGTGCTTCTTCTCAAGCTAACTGCCAGGGGGACGGCTTGGGACGTTCTTATTTCTGACGCTAAAGAGCGTGCAGCGTGAGCCCCTGGCACCGCGGCCGGCAGCAGCGCAGAGCCGCCCGCCTGACGCCCGCAAGGCGCCTGAGGCCCACCTCCCGCTCCTCCCCTTTTCTGGCAGGGCGGGAACTTTTCAGTTTAACTTGGTCAAGAGCGAATGGTTTAGTTTCTCTTCCTGCGAGAGTGGGTTTCTGGCTAGCACAGTTTTTGAAGGCGGGAGCGGAGGCACCCGAGTGCGCTGAGCGGCGCTGAGGCAGCCGAGCGGGCGGAGAGAGCGGGGCAAGTGGGAGGGGCGGCTCTGCGCCCCCACTGTGTGCACACGGGCCTGGGAGCGCCCGTGGTGCGCCCGGGTGAGGAGGGGCAGAGTGACGTACCGGAGTAGTTGGTGAAGGATTTTAGGTCCTCCAGACTGATGGGGACTTGTGCACCGGAAATTAATACCTGGAAAAAGAAGTTCAATCCATGAAGCTCAAGGCGGACCTGAGGCGGCCTCCTGTGGGGACACGGGCCCGGCGCCACCCACCTGCATCTCCTGCTGGTCGAACATGCGCAGCCACTCCAGGCTGACGACGTTGGCCAGGCCCTGGCGGAAGGCCAGGCAGTGCGGGCGGATCTGCCGGTTGAGCCGGTAGTCGGCCACCAGGTGGATGTAGGCGATGCGGTTGGCGCTGGTCACAGGGATGTCCTTCCCGCCCAGCTTCAGCTCCACAACCTGTGAAGGCCAAGATGGACCTCGGCACCCGCGGACGGCGCGGGCACAGAAGGCGCGCTTCGAGGAACAGTATCTCGCCTGAGGTGGGAGCCTGGTGGGAAGCTGGGCCCCTGGGCTTGGAGGTGCAGCTTACACGTGCCCCGCGTCCCCCGCCGTGCCTGGGAGGGCGCAGGCTTTGGGTCTCACTCAGAAAGTCAGAGTCACGAAGGGCAGAGGCAGGGGCTGCAGTGTTGCCACCTGGGCCAGGCGGCACTTTGAGCAGCGCTGAGCCGGCAGGTGGCCGGGACCCACCCCCTCCTGTGTGGCCACAGCCCCAGCCTGTCCTGTCAGCAGCAAAGCGGCGCTGCTGCCTGGACGACCTGGGAGGGGCGACTAGAGCCTCAGCGGCAGCATATCTGCGGCAGCATATCTGCTGGAGACGCGGCAGCCGCCTCCGCCCTGTGGCCTCCCGGGGCCCAGGCACCCCCACCCCCGGCCGGCGACGACCGACAGAGGGCAGTGTCGCACACGGCCCCTCCCCGCCCCCGCATGGGCGGCCAGGGGTGATGGCGGCTCTGAGGCCAGAAAGCATGACCTTGGGGGCGGAACCACCGCGATCTTAGGTATCGTTAGTGGGTCCTTGAGAGACACATTCCTGGGGTCGGGCGAGCTGACCCACGCTGAGGCCAGAGAAATAAAAGTGCGTCCCCAGACGTTCCAGAAAGACAGGCCGGTGGGGGCCAGGCAGGGGACCTGGGAGCCAGAGCGGGGATCCAGGCCCACCCCACCACCAGGTGAGGGAGGGAGGGCAGCCCGCCGCCCGGCCCTGCCAGCCGCCTTCCGTCCACCGGGCCGTGGTGAGTGACAGGGCAATGCCATGTCACCCCGGTGCCAGCTGAAGCGTTCTACAGAAAGGCCATTTTCAAATCTGAGGGTTGCTACTTAGATGCCTGACAGACACGACCCCTAGGGTCAGGGGTCCACTGGGTTCTCAGGGGTCACAGTCTCCCTCCGGGGGCTGCAAGCCCAGACTGATCTGAGAGGCGGGTACACCCCACAGTCAGGCCGAGGTGCCTGTCTCAGGCCTGGCTGCCTCCCGGTACGCGAGACGCTGTTAAGTGGACTGAGGGCAGCGGGGAATTGAGGACACGCCACATGATCACAAGGGGCCCAGAAAGCGGCCAGGCCCCTGCCCGGGGGCAGCACTGAGGCTGAGGCCCGAGGGAGCTGCCCTTCAGAAACGAGCCTGAAAATCTCTGACACGCACACACTCGTGCCCTCGCGCAGCGGGCGGGGCTGGAGCTTGGCGCCCAGAAACCCGCGGCCGCCCTCACCTGAGCCTCGCCCAGGTCGTTGTTCACCACGGTGAAGTTCAGCCCCAGCTCCTCCACGTCCCCCTCGTAGCTCTTGAGGAACAGCAGGTTCCTGTAGACCTCGGGGTCCAGGGAGGCCAGGTGGTGGATGTCCACGTCAGCGCTGGTGCCCAGCAGCTTGGACAGGAAGAAGCCGGCGAAGGGCAGCTCCACCAGCATGTTCTCGTAGAGGGCCTGCGGGAGAGCGTGGGTCACTCTGCGGCCACAGGGCTCAGGACGCGTGATGACAGACGCTGGCCAAGGGCGCCCGAGTCCTCGGCTCGCAGGGATCCCTGAGCCCTGAGGAGCCGGGTGGGGGGGTCGTATCTGGGGTGCACTCCCATGCACCGGCCAGCCTCACACCCCATGCACGTATGATGTCCCCAGCCCCGGGACAGACCGGCCGAGTGCCCCGGGCTGCGGCCACAGATGTGGGAGGAAGGGAAACGCGGGTCTCGGTGAGGCCACCGCTGGGGGCCAGGGCGTGAGCAGGGCCGGCTGGGAGGGCCCTTCCTGCCTCCTCTAGCGTCCCTGGCTGGTGGCGCCATCACCCCACACCCGCCCCTCACGCGGCCACCACCCCCGCGCGGTGTCCAGTCTCCCTTCCTCTCTAGAGACACCCAAGGCCCAGGCCTCGTCTCAGCTGAGTCGCAGACACACAGACGCTGCCGCGCACAGCCCCGGGCTCCCGGCGGAGGGCTGGGGCCGAGCACGTCTCCTGGGGCCGGTGAGCGAGTCGCGTGCCCAAGCCAGAGGTGCATGGGAGAGGGGCCTCTGGCAAGGCAGGCTTGGGGGCCGGGGCCAGCTTCCCCCGCTTTGGCCGGCAGAGCCCGGCGCGGCCTGCGCTCATCTTGGGTGAGCCCTCCCCCCAGCGCTCCGGGGTTGCAGTGCCTCATCCTGACTTCAGGTGCGGCAGGGGCTTCCCTTCCCGTCAGACACCACGAGGCCCAGGTCGGCCTCACCCCTGATGTGCTGGCGGTGTCCCGGGGGGCCTGGGGGGGGGCAGGGGCTCACGCCGGGGAGGGAACACCCACAGCCCTCCCGGGGGGCTGGGCTTCTGCTTTTACTTCTCACGTGACGACGACTGATCACCCAATTAGTTTGGAAACGATGGCAAAGAAGGGCTTCCTAACAAGAGAGCGAGTGATAACATGGCGGCCGGCGCTCGGGTCACCTGCTGGCCATGTGCAGGCAGAGCCGCTCTGAAAAGTCGCAGCGTGCCTCGCGGTAAGGATGGCCGGTGCTACTGGCCCGGAGCGCTCACAAGTCCACGGCCTCCAGAGAAAAGATGACTTCAGAGCCAGGCCACTCTGGAGGGACAGGACCGACGCCAGGTGCTGGAGGAAAGCCTCATTTGTCCAGCGGGCTCTGAAGTAAACTAAGGCGTAAATCATCCGGCGCCCAACGCGAAAGGCCCTGTGAGCCACGCTGCATTAGCAACAATAAACCAGCGAGGCTCGTTAAATGCATCTGAGCCACCTGAATTTTAAGCAGAAAGCCCACTGTGACTCATAAAATGTAAATGCACAGGTATAATTTTTTACATAAGGCAGGTTTAAACCTTTCGCGCATTTAATATACAAGCACTAATAAATGATCGCACTAAAAACTATGATTGCATCAGCTAAATGGATTATAAATTAAATTTCCATAATGTATGCAGCCAAGATACAGCTGTAACCATAAATCAGGGTATTTTCTAAACACAGGTTAATTATACAACTTCAAAAACTGCCGATTTTTTATGCAAAATAATCCACTTAGCGTTTTTCATGGGCGCGTCCCAAGTGGCGCGCGCTGCCCCGGCGCATCAATAACCGCCGCGGGGCCAGCGGCAGGTGCGTGGAAACCTGGGGCGTATTTTTCAACTGTCTGTCCTTTACGAGTGTTTATAGCTAGAAATTGTGCCAAAATGATTTGAAATAAAAAGGATTAATTACAGCAGAGCCTTTTAATAAGCGTGAGTGCAGGCGCCGCGCAGCCAGCGAGGCCGCGCGGGGAGGGCGGGGCCGCCGCGCGCGCTGCCAAGGGGCTCCGGTAATTTACTACATTAAGAATCAATAAAAAAATAATGCTTTTCAAATGCATCTCTATCAATCTCCAGGTGGTTGCAAAGTGAACATTTATAACTTACTCTAAGACTGTACCCGAGGTGTCTTGTTTCAGGCCACCCTCGCTGAGCAAGAAGAGAATGATTTTCATTATTTCGGGTCACGCCGACCTTGGAGTTCAAAACAGCCGCGCGAGGAGCGGGAGCCCGTCCTTGTGGCCAAAGCACAGGCTCTGGAGGCGGGGATGGGCCAGGCCAGCACCGGGCGGGCCCCGGAGAGGGGTTGCCTGTTCACGGCAGCCCACAACCTGCACTACGGCCCGGCCAGCCTGCCTTGGGACGCGCGTGCTAGCTGGGGCGTCTGCAGGGAATGCTGGGCGGGGGACGCAAGCCCACTAGCCCCTGCGGGCTGGGCCACCGCTCTCCCTGGTCCTGCCCCTCGGACCGGCTCAGGCTCGTGAAGGAGACATCTTCCCACGTGGCCCACGATGTTCCGGCGCGCAATGAGCTCAGCAGTCACCTGGGAGCGCCGAGGCCCAGTGCGCATGCAAAGACCCATTTCCGGTAACTACGAGGGTCGTTTCTCAGGTGTAAGAACTGGACTTGGCACCACAGGATGACCTGGCCTGAGACCGCCCGACTGTCTCCCGAGAAGCCCGCAGTGTCTGCCCATGCAGGACAAGGCCCATGGCCCAAGCAGAGCCCTGCCCTGCTCTCCTGCTCTGCCCCGGGGCAGCCCGCTGACCCTCTGAGCGGGCACCCATAGGTGGCACACACAGCTCCGCTAAGCCCTAAGGTGCCCTTCTGAGCGAGGGAGACAGTGGGTGCCACCCAGTCTCCCGCCTCCTAAGCTGCCCCTTGCGCCCCCTGGCGGTCACTCGCCTGCCCTGTCTCTGAGGCTCCTCCCATTCTGGGCGTCCCGTTGGAACTGCACAGCTGGGACAGCATCCCTAGCCCCCTTGTGAGTGTGCCAAGGCGTCTCACCGGGCACCCCATCCATCCCCAGTGCCACAGGCCTTCAGCAGCTCACCCCTCCAGAGGCGCCGCTGGCGGCCCCACGCCTCCACCACCTGCCCCAGCCCCGCCCGACAGTCACCTGGGGAGCAGCAGCCCCCGCGGGAGCTGGGCCCACCTCAGGGCCGGGGCAGGTGTGGGAGCAGACTTGGAGAGGTTGCAGCCCTCATCTCTGCCCACCCCCGTCCCACCTTGACTCAAATGACCTGGGGGCTATAGCCCCCCAGCCATGCACTCTCCTCTGAGGGTACACCTACAGACATCTGGGGTGCAGGGATCGCACCCCTGAATGGAGAGGCCTCTGACACTCGGTGTGCAGCTCCCCTGAGCTCTCCTCCCCTCCTGCGGCGAGTTCCGGCTTCCTGGGGCCTGTGGTGGCAGCACCCTTTGCCCCTTGGGCGCCCCTATGGTGGCTCGCTAGGAGATGGCAGGTGCTCGGGCCTAGATTTCAGCGACATTGACCCGACGCTCCACCATCACCTCCAGGGACCAAGCACGGTCACTGCCAGAGGGTCCGGCTGCCCGCCCGCAAGACAGAGCAGGCCCTGCCCCCTCCCACCGAGCCCCGGCTCATTCCAGATGGACGTTTACACGCCCGAACGGCTCCTAATGGGCTGTTTTATTTTCAGACGGCCGTCTCCTCCCTGCACAAGCAGAGGCCAGGCAGACAGGGTGGCCCTTCGCCGGCCTAGCTCGAGGAGGAGCTGCGGTCTGACCGTCTGGGTGACGATGGAACTGGCTCAGAGAAGGACACAGGCCTCCTCAGAACGAGCCGTGCCAGCCCAGCGCACGGGGGCGTGGCGAACGGCACAGTGGAGAGTGAGCCGGCCTGTGCGGCTCCGTGAGGGGCAGTGCGTCGAGGGCTGACAGACCCCGGGCACGCCTGCTGCTGACCCAGCCACCCCAAGTCGTCTCACCCATGTGTAACACTGCAGTAAAATGAGGCCCCCTTGGTGGCGCAAGGGGTTGGGTCCCAGCACTGTGAAGCAGCCTCTGCAGCATGAGTTCCATCCTCGGCTGGCACGGGAGCTACCCACATGGCGCAGCAGACCTCGCCTGACTCGCCCACTGCTCCCCTCAGCAGTGCGTTTTAGTGGATCTGCCTGTTCTGCTCCCCACTCTGTCTCTGGGGAATCCTCTCACCACCCCCACACCTCTGGCCTGCACCCCAGCTCTTGTATGCATAAATACATCTTTAAAAAATAAATCTATTTTTAAGAAGTGAAATGAACTTTAGAAAACCGCGAGTCAGCAGAAGACCGCCCAAGGCCCGCGGGGTCTGCATTCGGCCCTGGGCACCAGCAGAGCAGGGCAGCTCAACTGGAGTGGCCGCTTGTCGATTACTACAATCATCTCTCTTCTGCTTCCAAAAAAAGCTGAGGGTGAAGAGGAGCGAGCCCGATGGAGTCGCCCTCGGCAGCTGACTGGGAGGCCGTGTGCTGAGCGCGGGTGGTGCCCCGGAGGGCAGGGCCCGGGGCAGCTCTAAGGAGGGGCTTGGCCACTTCAAGGACCACAGCAGAAGCACGACCAGCATGTGCCTCTGCCTGCAGTTTTGAAGCCTCAGCAAATTCCACGAGCGTTTTATAAAGGGACTCTTAATGATACAGAAGAATTAATTTTGCCAACGCTCAAAAATCTGAAGATAAACTACTAACTGCTGGGGCAGCACTTGCGACCAGCAGCGCCCGCTGAATGCCACCACATGGAATCAGAAACCACAAGTCTCACAACCTGTTCATTAAAACTGTGAAATATATGCCCAGCATATCATCAAATCACCTGATTTACAGGCATTCTGTTCCAATTAAATCAATATTCTGAAGCAAGGAAGAAAAGAGCCATTTTCAAGTAGAATTCAAATATGATAAAAGATTTCCTTCAGCAAATACTCTGAACTTAATTGGCCTAAATGGACCCGGGAGCGCCTCCCTGCAAGAGCCCGGGACGCCATCACCACCTCTCGAGCTGTTTATTTATCCCCGTCTGGAGCCTGATTTACAGGCGGCAAAATGCAATCCCGACCAGAGTGGAGGCAGGACCATCTGCTAATGGAACGTTTAATCGAGAAGTGGCCAGTGACAGGAGGCCATTCCCCGGTGCACGATGGCTCTGGAGACCTCTTTGCACTTCATCACAGTAAACAATCACTAACATATGCATTAAAGAAAATTTAAATACATTATGGCCCAATAAATATCATAATCAATCAACACACAATCTTCAGCTCTTAAAGGTTTGCCATCCGGAGCCGTGCACACGGCCCGCTCGGGACGCCCGCGAGCCCAGAGCCACCCAGGAGTTGCCGCGCAGAACATCCCGGGACTGAAGCCTCAGAGGTGAGGAAGCAGGTCCCTGCAGGGCCGCTGAAGTGTGCACCACGCAGTGGCCGCAGGCTCTGGGCTGGGGCGCGCCCTTGGGGAACACGGGTATCCCGCCACACCCCCATGGGCGCACTGCGGTGGCAGGTCCCCCACCCATCCCGGGGGCAGGCGCAGTCCGAGCTGGACCTGCAGGTGTGTGTGGTGGCTGTGCAGGCCGTTGGTGCTCAGGGCACCTGTCAGCGAGCCCCAGGAGACGGTCGTGTTATTATTATTCTTAACTTGGGGGATCTTGGGCGCCCCTCCAGACAGGACAGCACACTGCTCCATGGCTTTCATGATGCACCTCGTGAGCCCTACATGGTCCAGAGGGAGCCGGAGCGGGCAACGTCTGGCCAGGTCTTCCTGAGCACGGCACCCCGCAGGTCCCAAAGGGAATCCTGACATTTATGTCACGGAACCTGACTGGGTCCAAGACTGGCTGTCGCTGGGCTGTCAGGGGTCCAGAGGAGCGCGCAGCGGCAGGGCCGTGGGCGCAGGACGAGAGGCCATGCGAGGGCACGGCCTTCACATGCAGGACACGTCCCAACATGCAGCTCACAAATCTGTTCTTATAAGTAAATATCCCTCATCTTAAAATGCTATTGGTCAATTTTTTAAAGATTTATTTATTTAGGCATATAAGAGCTGGGGTACAAGGCTAGAGATGTGGGGGGGTGGTTGAGAGGATTCCCCAGAGACAGAGTGGGGAACACAACAGGCAGACTGACTGAAACCCACTGCTGAGGGGAGCAGCAGGGAGAGAGGAGGGGTCTGCCGTGCCGTGTGGGTAGCTCCCTGGCCAGGGATCAAACTCGTGCTGCAGAGGCTGTGGACAGCTTCATCGTGCTGAGACTTAACCCCTTGCACCACTGGGGAGGCCCAGTCATTTTTTTTAAGGAGTATTTTTTGGGGAACAGGACTTGACGGTGGGAGACAGCTGGCCACCTGCTCATACCCCTTGGGTGCGTCACAGCCTAGGAAGCCCCACCCCAAGGTAGTGGCGCTCGAGGTGGTCCCATCAAGGGGGCATATTGGCCAGGTCACAGCCCCAGAGGGCCGACCCCCTGAGGACACAGCAATTAGGCGGGCCTTCCCAGCTGACACCTGGCACCCCGCGCTGCCCTGCCAGCCTCCCAGCCAGCGGCTCCGCAGCCGGCAGCTTCCCTCGCTCGCACAAGAGGTATGCCGGGTCTGGGCACCGAGACACCAGGCTCTGGAGCACGGCGGGGGCGTCACGGCAGCATGAGGCCAAACCCACGCAAGCTACTGGTCCCCAAAGTTGGAACCTCACAAGCCCCGTGGACACAGCCCCACAGGCGGCGGGGATGTCCAGGACGGACTCTGGGCTGTTTCCCGAAGTCCGCACTGCCCCCACCCACACCTGTGGAGGGAGGCCTCACCTTTCCGAGCATTCTGCCCAGGAAGTAGTAATGTCTGGCAAAGGAGTCTCCCACGAGCATCTGGGCTGCTGGATTGGGGTACAGGAGGCCCTCGTTCGTCGTCTTGAAGAACCCCTGGTTGGGGTTGAAGCCTGACTTGAGCAGCTCGTTGAGGAACTCCCTGAAGACCCCGCCCCCGTCGATGCCGGCCTCATCCAGCCCGTGCGCGTTGAGCAGGTGCACGCGGATGCGCTTCTTCAGGTCAGGCTCTGGGGTGGAGGGGGCTTCAGGTCAGTCTCGGGGGTGGGGGGCTTCAGGTCAGGCTCGGGGGGATATGGGGTGGAGGGTGCGGCCTGCAGGGAACAAGCCGGTGGCGGGGCATTTTCGTGGGTGAGAGGGCTGAGGTATTTTCATGCAAGACTCGGAATCAGACAGAAAGAGGGATGAAGACAGACTGATGGGCGTCCCCCAGAGTGGGGGGGCGACACACCCCTTCATCGGAAGCACGGGGCGGGGGGGTACCTGAGGGGAAGGGAAACGCCCCACGTGTCCTAACGGACGTGACAGAATAAGCCGCGTGAGGAGAGGGGCGTTAAGCCACATGGAAGACATTGAGTCAGGAGATCATTTCCAGGAGGGGCGACCCCGGCCGAGCACAGCCTCTGCGGCCAGCACGCGCCCGGGCGGGGTGGGGACGGCCGTGCCGGCGGAGTCGCAGCCACCCGGCAGCCGCGTCTGGCAGGACAAGGGGGCACGGTCACAAGCTTTTCAAGTTACAAAGCAGCTCGACTGTGTCGCCGTCTGAGAGAAGCTCCCACACGGGCCCCCCAGGCAGGAAGGACATGTGCCCCGCAGAGGCGGCAGTGAGCACGGCAGCCCCGGGGCCCGCAGGTAAAGGGGCTCCCTGAGTGGACAGGCGGAGCCGGGCACAGGCTGGAGAAGGGAGCAGCTGCGTCCTCTGCCCGTCCGCCAGCGTGCGCGTAGGCAGGCTGCAGGTAAACGGTGGGCATGGCCGGAGGTGGGGCGTGTGGGGAGGGTTCGGGTGGGAGGAGGGTCCCGGCGGGAGGGGGTCCCGGCAGAGAGGGGTTGGCAGGTTCTCGGGAGCGGCATTCTCCCTGGCATCTCGGGCAGCTGAGTGCAGACAGCCCTTGGAGAGCGTCCGGGCCTGGGCCTAGACTATTCTCAGATGGGGCAGAAATGAGCAGCTGTGCCCCGCCCTCCCCCGTCCGCAGGCACAGCCCCGCAAGGCGCAGGCGGCAAGGGACTGTGCGGTGTGGAGCCGCTGGGCTGTGGCCAGGGCACAGACAGGAGCCGCGCTGCAGCCCTTGGGAAAGGGATCCCAAGGAGTGGAACTATTGTTTTTTCAAAAACATGTCAGACCAGAGCCAGAACCCCTGGTTTTGCCTCACTCCCACGTGAGGTTGGGAAGAACCCCCTTGAGCTGCGGCCAGCTCACAGCCCGGATCAGCGCGATGGCGGCCGCCTGCTGGCAGCTTAGGCTGCAGAGGAAGTGACAAAACCAGCCAAATCCAAAGACTTGCATGCAAAGCCTGGGATGAAGGCGAACTGACATGAGCCGCGCCCCGTCCCGCACTGAGGCTAAGTGAGCCCTGTGACGGGAAACAGGAACCCCACCCTTCAAACCAGAGGCCAGCTTCCCCAGGGGAAAGGCGTCCAGCCTGCCGGCCGCATGGGGGCCCAGCACCGGCCCTGCACATGGATGCGGCTCCGAGCAGGACGCCTGGGCCTCGCGCGCTGAGGCGCGCTTCCTTTCTTGTAAGTCAATTTGACTTGCAACTTACAAAATACTTACATGAACTGTCCATGCAAATACAGATGCGAACAGGCGCCCCTCAGTGTCTGTACGGGTCAGGCAACTTGCACCGAGAGGTGCCTTTTGAGTGGCAGCTCCAGCGGCTACCCCCCCGCCCCCACCCCCCAAGGCCTGGGCCTCAGGGCTGCGGCGCCCAGCCCCACACAAGAGGGGGTCGAACGTACCATTTTCTGGGGATAGTTTGTCATAAGCATCTTCATAAATATAATTTCTTCTTATTGTGACATTAATTCCATCCAGAAATGGACCATCTCCTTGAACTTCTTGCTTATCTGCATAAATCAACCTTTGAAAGATCTAATGGGAGAAATTGCAAGGTTATTTGAAATATCAGATTTTTTATCATGAACATAAACAATCAAAAGGAAAAACTACTAAATAAATCTTAACGTTTGTAGTTCCATACCTCTGGAGTGAATTTTACGGCCAAAGTATCGATACTACGTTTCTACCTTATCAAGAAATATGAGATATATACACATATTCATAAAACTGCCCCTTCTCATTTCACAACAAAATTTCAAAATCACATGCTGCGGGGAATTCCAACATTTTGCTTTATAAACTGTGTGTAAAACCCAGCGGTGCAGGGAAGAACATCTCTCCAGGAGTCTCCGCACCGATGAGACCCAGCACTTTCCGTGACTCCAGACACCCAGCAGAGGGAGCTCAGGGGTCATTATGGAAGTGTGTGTGTGAGGGCGCGAGACAGAGCGCGCGCGCAGAGAGCGAGGAGAGCGAGAGAGAGAGAGAGAGAGAGAGAGAGAGAGAGAGAGGACCGACCGTGGACGGCCGGGGAGAGGCAAGCTCCGAGAGGCATCCTTCTCAAGTGCCGCCTGTGCGGAGCGGGAGGCCTAAAGGATACCCTCTCGCAGTCCCCGCCTAAGAACAGTCTAGCAAGTTTTCAGAAATTTGCTAAACAAAGTTGGTGAACACAAACATTTTAAATTCAATTCGGAAACAGATAAATGTAAACAAAGTTTTGCACGTGAGCCAAAAACCGTATTAACCATACTAAGGTAGTTGTCCATTTCTTTTTTATGAAGTAGCTTGTGATCAATGACTTAATGCAGAGACACGTATTTTCAATAAAATTGCAAATTTCCAAAACTGTAAAATGTGCCAAATTAAAAAGAACTGTCTACTCTCACTGCAAGAAAATGACAAAGTTGGTCTTTCCACTGGCCACAGCTAAAGGCCTCGGCTGCGTCTGACGGACCAGCCTGACAGGCGACACCAGCAGAGACAGGCGCCCAGTGCCGCAGGCAGCGTAGGCCCTCAGGCTGCGTACCTTCACCCGCTCCTCGAAGGGAACCACGAAGGGCAGCTCCGTCAGGATGGCAAGCTGTCGGTCCTCGGACACGGACAGTGGCGGCGACACGGCACCCACTGCAAGGCAGGGCGAGGTCAGTGCGGGCCCAGAGGCTGGGTGAGAAGACTGCCCGGGGTGTCCAGCCTGCGCCCACCCCCTCTGGCCCAGGGTGGGGCAGGGGTGCGACCCCACGGCCATCGCACCCACGGCCCCCGGGCTCAGTGCATTCCCCAAGCCCTGCTGACGACTCCCTCAAGCGGCTCCACTTCTGTATAGGGGACTTCAAAGGGCAGGAAACTTTGAAGGAAAAACTAATTTTTAAGTTACCAGCTGTTGAAAACAATCAATCTCACACTATTTTCCGTGTCGGGGGTGCCGTAGGCTGCACGGCCATCGGGTGAGGATGGGTATGGCTCTCAAGCGTGTGCACCAGCCCCGCCCACAGGCCCCGTCCCTCCTGGTGACGGACTCCCACCGGGGGGAGGGAGGAGGCCATGCAGGTGCAGGCCGGGGAGGGACTGTGCAGCCTCAGACTGGGGCAGGCGCAGGCCCGGGGGGCGGGTGGTGGGGGTGGGGGTGGGGGGCACCCAGCCACAGCCTTGGCGCTGCCCGAGATGGGGAGGTGCGACTTTCTTCTTGTTCTTTTTAAGAAACCTCAGTGTGACTTTAGTGTTCATGGAAACACTGGGCACCGCGGGAGTCCGTGCCATAGGCCATCACCAACCACGGTCTCCAGGCCCAGAAACAGGCAACCGGACTCCACGTGGCTGTCGGAGGAGGCTGAGAGGCGCCCTCCGCAGACCTGCAAGTGGCCGGCCGGCCAGCCCACCGCTCAGGGTCACGTCCACGTCCGCGAGGGGCCCCAGAGCACCAGCACGGGCCAGCCTTCACGCCCGCACTCAGGGCTTGCGCCTGCCCTCCAGCGACTGGACAGAAGACCCAGCCACCCCTAAGGCACGTGGCCGCCCGCCTGCTGCAGTCAGGGGTCGGGCGGGTTGGACGTGTGGACCCCGGCGCTCCCCCAGGCCAATGCTGCCGCTGACGGGTGTGGAGAGGCTGAAAGGGCGGGAAGGACAGACAGGCCCGCTCTGGTCTGGAAGAGACACCTCTAACAGCAGAGACGAGGTCTCGGGCTGCGGGAGCCTGTCCGGAGCAGAGAAGGCCTGTCAGACGTGCGCCCTGCACTCAGGCCTGGGCGTCAAGAGAATCACGTGACAGTAAAGCAAACTCCAGGGTGTTTAAGAAAAATCAACTACGTGGAGCCTAAGCATGGCAGGGCCTGCCTGGGAGCGTGAGGCCCAGGGAGACGCCTGTACCCAAGGCACGGATAGTCTGGGGGGTCTGGGGCTAGTCCCGAGAGGGAACACCGATGCTACTTTGTCTCAAAAAATAACCAGGAGGGGGCCTCCCCGGTGGCGCAGCGGTTGAGCGCTGGGTTGCGAACCTGCCCGCGGCCTCTGCGGCGCCGGTTCGATCCCCGGCTGCTCCCCGGCCACCGGAGGAGGGTCCCACATGGCGCGCAGACCTCTCCTGCCGCCCGCTGCTCCCCTCAGCAGTGTCCTTCGGTCCTTCTGCCTACTCTGCTTCCCGCTCTGGCTCTGGTGAATTCTCTCACCCTCCCGTGCTTCTGGCTGTACCCAGTGCATGTGTAAACAAAAACAAACAAACAAACAAATAAATAAATAAACATGCCTCTATAAAAAAAAAAAAAAAAAAAAAAAAAAAAAAACAGGAGGCAGCACTCCCACTGCCCACCTGTGACTCCGCAGGTGCCTCTTCTCACCACCTCTCTCCCTCTGCAGGGCAGCAGCCTCCTGCCTGCCCGTGACCTGCCAAGGCCACCTGCCTGCGACCATGCAGCCTCTCTCAGCAAACCTGTCCCTTCTGGGGCAGCCCTTCCTGCCCACTGGTGTCAACACACGTGTCTGTACCTGTTTTATCCCTTCCCTAATAAACCTGACCTCTAAATATTAAAAAAATAAGATAAGCAGGTCCCAAGCACCCGGTGCCGGCCGGTCTGGCCACGAGACAAACGCCAGGCGCCTGACCTGGGCTTAGCCGCCAAAGCCACAACTTCTAGTCTCCATTTGTCTTGGGGGGAAAAAAATACATTTTGGAAAACAAAATACACATTTCATTAATTCTATCAAAACAGAAAGCAAAAGCAGAAACTGAGAAACACAAATCTCAAACAGAAACGGTGGCGATTCTGACAAAGTGCGCGCTCAACTCCTACAAGACGGCGCACGCGCTGGCCTCCGTGCCGCCAGCCTGTCTGGGTCCAAACCCAGCAAGCGCCACCTCCAAGGCTCATCCATTAGAAGCTGGAATCCTGGGAAAATCCAGCACCCACAAAGACTCACAAACACGTGGGCAAACTACACCCCAACCGGACAAAGGCGGCCCCCCACTGCCATGAGGACAGCACCCCACAGTCAGGCGCCCCACAGGCCGTGCGAGACAGTGTAGCCACGGCTGGCGGAGCCGGCCAGGGGACAGTGGGGAGGCACAGGGGCACCGTCGTGACCGGGAAGAACCGTCACCGGACCGTGTAAAATTAAGATCTCTGCAAAGTCACCGCATCAGCAGTCACGTCCCCACCCGGGAGAAAGTATTTATAAACCACATCTGATACAAAAAAACCGTAACATAAACATAGAAGTCTGGGATCCCAGCCAGGGCGCTGACCCACAGGGCACAGCAGACTCTCCTGTCTCCCCGCTGCTCTCTCAGCAGTGGGTTTCAGTGGATCCACCTGTTCTGCTCCCCACTCTGTCTCTGGGGAGTCCTCTCCCCCGCCTCTGGTCTACAACCCAGCTCTTGTACGCATAAATAAATAAAATAAATCTTAAAAAAAAAAAAAAAGAAAGAAATACAGAACTCTCAAAACCAACAATCAAAAAGCCCTCAGGGGCATGAAAGAAATGCAACACCCCCACTCACAGGAAGCGCGGCTGCAGCCCGGAGGGAGATGCCGGCTGCTGCGGACCCTTCGGGCAGGGGTAAAGGTGCCAGTTGGGGTCCTGGGGCGCGGGGCACACCTGGCCACACGTAGCAGGGCCCCGCCCAGCTGTGCCCAGGGGCCAGACACACAGTCACAGCCACCTGGCACGGGGACCCACGCTCTCCAGCCAGGTGCAGATGGGGAGGCTGCGCGGGGGGTGCTGCTGTGTGGCACAGGGCGCCCACAGGACTCAGGGTGCCGGGCTGCCAGGCTGGAGGCAAGCAGCTGGCGCTCCCGCCACGGCTGGGCTCAGCTCCTGGGAAGGCCAAACTAAAGGATGGAGAGCCGAGGGGCGGCAGGCTGCGGGCACCCATCAGAGTCCAGCACAGCTCGGTGGGAGTGGGGAGAGTGGCTACGTCCCAACAAACCCCCACCTCAGGAGAGCGCAGGACCAGGAACTCACCGTCCAGGGTGGACTGCAGGGGGCCAATCCTGCCCATCCGCCGGAAGCGCCAGGCATGTCTGGACGCCGGTACGTAGAGCTGGGTGACCTGCAAGCAGAGCAGGCACTGAGGCCCCCCACGCTCCAGGGCAGGAACACCCCCCCCACATCTGCCTGAAGAGGGACACTGGGCCGGGTCCTCTCTGGCCTCGTGTACCCCACGGGCTCTGGACCTGGCTGCCCCTTCACCCCATGTCGCGGGCTTCCCCACAGCTCTAAGGAAACCTCCACCTGCCCCGTCTGAGATGTGTGACGTAAGGACGCGGTAACTCGCGGCGCGGTTGGCACCTCATGGAGAAAGGCCACGCTCAGAGCACTGCGTCTCATCAGCCCCGCGGCTGTCTCCTTAGACGAGTGTGCCAACGAGGCTGGTGCAGCCAACTATCCCCTAAATCCCTCCATCTGCGTGTCCCTGCCAGCGCTGCATCCGTTCCGGAGAACCCCTCACTGGACTTCGCCGGCCGCCCACCTGCCCCCGAGCCTGCGGTCACGCCGAGGGCCCTGCGCGAGGCTGCAGTGGTGAGTGTCCGGCTGAGTAGGCAGTGCCCAGACATACCGGGTTCAGCCAACATTCTGCCTAGCAGAGCTGTCCGGAGCTGGGGAGTGACGTGCACATCTGCACGCTTGCACCAGACCCTCAGCTCCCAGACCCCCAGCGTGTGTGCAGACGGCCTCCAGGTCAGAGCGGGGGTGGGGCTGGGCTTCCTTTCCAGAATAGTGCTGAAAGACCTCGAGGGGGCCACAGGGACGGGGGCTGCTCCCCACACCACCCTCGCACAATCCCCCCACCCCCGTGTGCCCCTGTGACCACGCACTCCTCTCCCGCCTGAAGCGCCACCGCCGGCCGGGGGAGGTGCTGCCCGGTCAGTGGGCCGAGCCTGGAGCTGCAGGCTTGGCTTACAGACAGAACATGTCCTGTGCAGCGACGCCCGAGCCTGCCCTGAGCACCCGCCGCCCACTGTGTCTCTTGACCACCCTGGGCGTCGGGGACCGACCCACCCTTCCCGGCAAGATGGAGGCCCCTGTGGCTCCTGACACGCTGTGGCTGCCGTTCCCAAGGCTGCCACTGCACAGCCAGGTAGAGCCGTGGCTTGGTAATGCCCAACTTGTCTGTTCCTTCAGGAAATCCAGGATGAGCTCTGTCTCCTTTAAGTTCTAAACACATATTGATTATTGGCACCAATAAAAGCAAAACCAGAGCCTTCCCGCTTCCGTGAAACGTGCGGTCAGGCAGCGAAGCAGGGCGTGTGGCCAGCCCAGCACCCAGGCTGGCCGCGCCGCTGATGTCGGCCTTCAAGGCGCCTCCTCCTGGGGAAAACGAGCTGAGCCCAGCGCCGGCCCTCCCACGACACCTTGTCCGCTCTGATGTCCTCTTGCTCCGACAGCCAGTGGTTCGGGGGACAGAAATTTCTCCTCGTGTCTCTGGACTTCAACATCTTCACAAGGTTGGTGATGACCTAAAGAGGGAGCGGAGTCACGTCAGCGGCGGGCCCGGGGCGGCCGCGCCAGGAAACCGGCCCCGCACCATGCAGACACGCCCAGCCCCCAGCCCGGCTTACGGAAAAGCGCCCATAATTACAAGAAAAGCTTTTAAGCGCAAAGCAGTGAGCTAGCGCTCTTGGCAACCAGGGGGACAAATGAACACAGATGTGCGCGAAGGAGGATTTGAAAAAAAACCACAAGGGAGGGAGCCGCGAAGCCTGGACACGCATCTCGGTGCACTGGAGGCGTGACGCCGGGTCTCCGGGAGCGGCAGAGCAAAGCTGCTCCCTACGGCAAAGCGGCGAATCTCATCCCCCTTCAGACACTTTGTCAGCGTCGTCTCCGCCGCCGCGGACGAGCGGACGTCAGCGTCGCTCTCGCCGCCGAGCACGCAGGCAGCGCAGGGCTGCCAGGGTCAAGGGCGCGGGCGGCGTTTCAGATGCGCGTCCTGCGCAGCGGCGCCCAGGCCCAGTCTACGCTGGATAAAGCCACCCTCGGGGTTCCTCCCAACATGCCTCAACATCTATCTGAAATTCAAATTGAAGCAGGGGACGTATCTTTATCTGCTGAATGCGGTCCCGGGAGTCCGGGGCACCTGTCAAAGCGCTTTTCAAGATCACAGCCCCGACCCTTCCATTCGACTAAGAACACGTTACTCCTTCGCTTCAAAAATTTCCTCTAAGAAACCATAAAAATTTCCCGGATCTGCTTTATGTCGTCAAATCTTCCCTCGCGCGCTGATTTTCAGCGTCCCGCACGCCACGCTTCCCACTCAGTGCCGAGAGGCAGAGCCGCGCGGAGGCCGCCAGCAGCGCGGGCATCAAACACGGAACCAGCCGCGCCAGGACGCACGGGGCAGGGAACACGAGGGGCTCTGAGCGCGTCGCCCGGAGCCGCTGGGGGTGCGCGGGGCTTCCCGCCGCTGCCCAGGGCCTGGGTCCCCTCGGGCTCGGGCTTTTCCGCACAGTCAGGCCGCCGAGCCCCCTCGGCCCGGAGGAAGGGCGCTCAGAAGCCGGCACCGCGGGCACGCGCGGAAACGCAGGCCAGGCCCCGGCGTCCGTGTGCTGAGAGCCGCGCGGGCGCAGAGAAGCGCCCAGGTCGAGTGAGCGAGCAGCGCACGCTCGAGGCCCCGGCCAGGGTGGGGGGATGGCTTCCAGCGGCCGCCGGCCCTCCTGAGGGGAGAGGACGGACGTTTAGGGACGTGCCCGTCACCGGAAAGTGCCTGCGGGAGGCTGCACCGCCTTAGGACGCACCGCCACCACCTGACTGCTGATGGCGTTGACTCCGGGAAAGTCAACGCAGGTCATTCTTTAAAAGTTCAACAAAACGCGCCCCGCAGCACGTAACTCCTGGCGCTGCAGCGCCGTGACCTGGGAGCGACCTGACTTCACAGCGCGGCGCAGATGAAAGCGGAGCCAGGACGCGCGGTGCCCGGAAGCCCTGGGCTCTGCCGCCCCCCGGCCCAGAGGGCCGCCTCCCACGCTCTGCGGGCGCCAGCTGCTACACGTGCTGTGCTCCAGAGGCAGCAGGTGCTCAGCGCGCCCCAGTGTCCTCAGCGTCTGCTCTATGGGAGTCCGAGCAGAGCCAACGCCCTCCAGGGGGAGGAGGTCGGCGGGCTCCGCAGGACAAGCCGTGTCGGTGCAGCCCCCCGTCCCGGCCCCCAACACGCCTCCTCTCAACAGGCGTCCCTGCCCCTCCCAGGCCGAGGTGACCATGACATGAATCACGTGTCGAGGAGTTTATAAATTTGACAGACGCATCAGCTGCGTGAGCCATGTCAACGCAGGCTTGAGATTGGCCCCATCCCCACAGTGACAGAGAAAGATGACTCCATCCACTTAGTGCTTCAGTCTGGGGCCGCCAGCAGGGCCTCTCAGGAAATCAGCCAGAGGGGGCCGCGGCAGGACTGACAAATGCAGTGGCCAGGGCTGGGGTGCGTGGGCAGGCCATCTCTGGCCAAGCGCGTCCCCTTCTCTGGCTGGCTCTGCCTCGCACCCCTCAGCTCAGGCACCCACGTGTCACGCCCAGACGCGCTCCACTCCCAAGGGCTCCTGGGGCGCAGCAGCGGCCCCCACGTGCCCTCACCCACCGCAACGCACCCCGCCTGCCAAGGGGAGCTGCCCTCTCGCACTCAGGAAGGGACGCAGCCTGTGACCGCACACGTAAAGGGCACCCAGAGTCTCGCCTGGACACAGCAACCGGCCGCGGGGGGCAGACTCTCGTTTGTGTTAAAGGCTGTTTTTTTACAAGAAAAAATAATAGCAGCTCAGCCCTCTTCTACCCTCTTCCAAAGGCTATGCCTTCATTTAAAAAATCATCTTCAGGGCTCAGCTCAATGGCAGCTAGCACAAATTCCCGCCTGCTACCCCCCCCCCCCACACACACAAAAATAAACAAGTTCTGTTAAAAAACTGTCTTCAAGCAACTCTGCCCTGGCCTCGGAAGGTCTCCATGACACCCACGTCACGCCCCGTGTGCCAAAACAAGATGAGCTTTAACTCCGACGCTCCTACCCTCCGTTCTCAACAGGCGACAGTGAGTCATTTTATGGCACATGAAAAAAATTCACAACAAAATTTTCGTTTACAGTTTCAGCACGATGAAATATCTCATACAGGGCCGTGTTAAATCCAGAGCTTTCTAGCCCGACAGGCAAGCCCGTCGCGAAGAGCGCGGCCTTCTCCGCAGGCGCTGCAGCGCAATGCCCGGGTATGGCGCGGGAGCCCGACGCCCCGCGCAGCGGAACGCATTCCTGCGGGGCCAGAGTTTCATCAGGTGCACACACTCCCCGGCACCCGCACCGGGAGCGCGCGCGGGCTGTGAGAGGGTGGAGGAGACGGGCTCTTTCTGACTGGGAAAGGCTGCGCGTGGCCGTCTTGGAAAAGCACGCATGAAGGACACGCCACGTGACCTTTAAGGTTTACGAGGGATTAGGGAGGCGGGCGATTAGAACAAGTTGTGCAAACACAGATTACATCAACCTGCACAAATTATAAATTCAAGGTGCATTAGTGCTGTATTCGGTACAATCAAAACATTATCAGTTACTCTCACCGCTGCTAATGCTCGTGCTCATAAGTGAAATGTGTTGTAAAACCAGGCAGAATGGGCTGGAGAGAGACTGCGGCGCACTCGCAGGATGAATAAGCACTCCTTGATTAGCCCATCAGGTTAAGTGCAAGCATTAATGGGCCTTTCCTAAAGTCTAGCGTGACATCTTTCTCCAAACATGGCCAAGAAGAAAGTTCCATTAGCAATATTAATACAAGCTTAGTTGATCATTTTCATTCAATTAACTTCTTTCAATTAAATAGATAGCTTGACAAGAGCCGTGATAAAGGGCCCGGAGGCGCAGCTGATGACTCCAACCCAACATTAGTGAGCGCGGGGTCGCGGGTGCTAAACGGACTGTAAATCCAGCATTCAATTTGGAAAATGCATTTCTGCTGCTCTCACGTCTTTAACGAGCGATTTCAGCTGACTAGATGTGTTTGCTGCAGAAATTTCATGGGAGTCAAGCCCCTCTTCTCTCTCCTTTTCCCTGCCCCTCCGTGGGGCTCTCTGCGCAGGCACGGTCCCTGCACCCCCAGCCCCGGGGACTCCTAACTGCGCGGTCTGCCTGGTTGGAAATGAAGGTATTTAAACATAATTTATAGTTGACCTGACCTGCAGTCAATCAATGACCTTATTCTACCTTTGTTAACCAAGTTCTTGAAAGATCAAATACATGTCAAAATCTGAGAAGCCATTTAGTTAAAAGAAAAATTAAAATATTGAAAATTTTTTGGGCCTCCCTGGTGGCGCAGGCGGTTGAGCACCATGCTGTGAAGCTGTCCGCAGCCTCTACAACGCTGGTTCAATCCCTGCCGGCCGGCGAGGGTCCCACATGGCGCGCAGACCTCTCCTGCCGCCCGCTGCTCCCCTCAGCAGTGTATTTCGGTCCTTCTGCCTGCTCTGCTCCCCGCTCTGGCTCTGGTGAATCCTCTCACCCTCCCGCGCTTCTGACTGTACCCAGTGCTCGTATAATAAATAAATAAATCCTTAAAAAATAAAATAAAGTGAGACAAATGTAAAATAAAAATGACTTTTCTTCATTTAAAAGTCTTACAAATTTGCAAGTTGACTAGAACCTTCAAAAGACAGGCGAAGCTGGCGTCACGGGGAGCAAGACCCCTGCCCCCACCAAAGCGGCGCCCGCCCTGCAGAGCCCACCCGCGCCCCCGGCCCCCGCTACCTTGAACAGCTGGACCCAGCGCTTCTGCTCGGCCTGGAAGCAGCGCTGCACATCGGCACTGGCAGTGACGCCCACGCTCCTGAAGGCGGCCATGTACTCCTCCCGCACCTCGGGCCTGGTCTCCGGGTAGGCCAGCTTGATGATGCCCAGGCAGGCGTCGCGCAGGCAGCGGGACAGCACCACCAGCTCGTCCAGCGTGAAAGGCATCATCGAGGACGGCCTCTGACCTGTGACTGTGGAGTGGAACCCACTTCCTGGTGCACGGCCCTCTCGCTCTCAGCGCGTGGAGACCCTAGGGTGTGCAACGGCCCCATCTACGGAAGCGCCAGTCCCCTGTAGCAGACCCCAAGCCCTTACCTTCTATGGGGTCTCCGAAGAACTCGTTATCATGTATGGAAATGAGTGAGTGGCTGAACAAGGAGCTAAAAAGGTAAAAGAGTGGGATGATTCGACTAGAATCTTCAAAAGACATAGGCGAGCCCCTGGAGATCACCTGCAGCAAGGGCACCATCGACCTGCAGGGGTGAGGGGAGAAAAGAGCGTCAGCTTGGTCTGGGAGCAAATCCAGATCTGACGTTGGATGGACGCAACGGGGGCAAGAGCGTCTACGCCGGCAGTGAAACTGCGGCAGGCCCAAGCGGGGTGTTCTAACAAGGGGGGGTGACCACTGACGTAGGTTTACAGAAGGACACGCTCATCACCTGGCAACACCCGCGCTCGCCCTGCCACACGCGCCCTCACAGAGACAAGCCGCGGTCCGGTCCCGGGATGGAGCCCAGTAGGGAGGGGCTGAGCAGCCGTCACTGCCACTCACACCCGCATTCTCCCTGAGGGGACACCTCTCCCCGAGGCTCCCAGTCTCCTGGGAAACCCGCCAGCCCCACGCGTCTGGGAAGCTCCAGGACTCAGAGCAGAACACGCGGAACCAGGTGACCCCCATCCTCTGGGCTGGGCCCAAGCCCCGCTCCCGCCATGGCCCCGCTAGCCACCCCAAGGTGGGCCGTCTCTGAGCTCGGAGCCCTTCACCAGGTCTCTAGGGGGAGATGTAGCCTGTGTGACGTGCTCGGCTGACAGAGGCTGACTGTGAGCACCTTCCTGGCCCCCTAAGCGCACCACGTCAACCCTGGGTTAGCGCCACATGGGCCAATCTCCCCACCCACCTCCTCAGAGCGTCTGTGCCGAGAACAGCCACTGCATGGCTCGGGGCTCCCGAGTTAGACGGGCCCACCACCAGGGCCAGCGTGTCACCACCCGCCACGGCCAGAGGCACGAGAGCAAACACAAGGTGCGTCACGCGCCATGCAGAGGCCACTTACGCCAGTTTGGCAAGCTGGGGGTTCTGGAGTACGGGGGGCCCCCGAGACAAGCCCTTGCCACATCAGCACATCAGAACCAGGCTCCGTGCTGCCTGCAGGCACCCTCCCCCAGCCGAGAGTGTCTCCTCTCCAGCGGGAGCCACGCTCGCCCCAGGGCACGGCCACGACTGCCAGGCCGCCCCCGCTGTGCTGGCTGGGGGGGGTGTGCAGCTCCAGGAGCTCGCGCTTCCGGCAGGACGCACACAGGCGCCCCAGAGGGCAGGGATGCTGCCCTGTCCAGCCTGCTGCTCTCGGAGCCCCTATGCTTGCTGCACCCGAGGGTCCCACAGCCTGCGAGCCACGAAGCATCTTCAATGAGACGCGACGCCATTTTAGAAAAATCGGGCATTTCTCTTACGATTGTTTCCCAACACTCTGATGAGGATTTCACTAAGCAAGAAGGAACTCACCCTCTGAAAGTGACTTCTAAGAAATAGCGAGTTTTTAAAAATTCTATCACTTCTTTCTAAGAATGGCTTTTACTTATTTTTATTTTTAAAGATTTCTTCATGCACACAAGAGCTGGGGTGCAGGCCAGAGGTACGGGTTTGAGAGGACACACCAGAGACAGAGTGGGGAGCAGAACACGTGTAGCCACTGAACTACACAGCTGAGGGGAGCAGTGGGGAGACAGGAGAGGTCTGCTGTGCCCTGTGGGTAGCTCCCTGGCTGGGCTCGAACTTAGTCCGCAGCAGTGAGAACCTCAACTGACCCTTAAGCCCCAGGGAGATCCCCCAAAACTCTAACTTCACCAACTTATAAAAGGTTAACAGCTGACATAGCAACAGTTCATTTTTCTTTCACACACGACTCTTTCCTCACCCAGGACAAATGCCATGAAAAACGGGCCCGCAGGGGCCTTGGGCTGAGCTGGGACACTGAGGTCAGTGGCCATCTCCTCCCACGAACCCGCATTCCTCGCGCCTGGACAGAACCTGCCATGCGGGGGAGTCGGGACTGACACAGCTCGAGCGGCTGGAAGTCACCTGAATGCATGACGACACATAACTAAGAACCTTCCCTTTATTTTCATTTGAAATAAAAGGCCGTGAAACCCCGCTGGCCGCCCCCCGCCCCCCTCCCCCGCCCCAGCCCTGCAGCCACAGGAGCCTGCCGGCCGCAGGGCCTTCGCCAGGGCCCCTCTCCTCACTTCAGGTGCTTCGTTACAGTTAAGGGAAAAGAGGGCGCCGCAAGGCAGAGCTGCTGACACTGGGAGCGGCCCCCCACCACTGTGCCTGGGCGGGGCTCCCCGCGGCTGGGTGGCACCGGCGCTGAACAGGGCCTCTCCCCACAGGGGTCCCCACGCGCGCTAGCCCGAGAGCAGCCCAGCCAGACCCTGCAGCCTCCCCCTGTAGGGCGCGGCCCAGCCGGGCGCAGGAGAGGGCACCGAAATGGACCCCAAGCCCCCCCCCCCACCAAACTCTCCCTCCAACCTTCCTGCGCCGACGAAAAAAAACAAAGAGGAAATGCTCTTCTCCCCAAACCCCTGCCCTGAAGTGGGGCTGCGCCTTCCCGGTGCAGGGGCTGGCTCGGCACCCAGCTGGGGGCGGGGGGCTCGCCTGCAGGGCCTTGGGCCCCCTAGCACCCTGGGCTTGAGAGGGCGAGGGGGCAGCCCTCGACATGATTCACGTTCAGAACGAGAGTCGAGTCGTCAGCCAGTTCACCACGGTTCACCCGCCAAAAATCAAATTATTTCAACAATTTCAAAAAGCATTAAAATACCAAATCTCTACGCTATTTTACGTTTGAACATTTCTAATGGAAACTACAAATTTCACATTCCACTGTGAAAACCACAGGAAAGTCTTAAGGGAAGGCCAAACTGCTTTTCAGAAATGACCAGGGTTTTCTTTTAACAACTAGGATTTTAAAAACAAGTTTCTCCCCAAAACCAAACTCAATAGTACATCCCGATAAGCCACCGTAAAGTGAGACATTATATGCGTGTGCAAAAAACTGGAACCTTCTAGAACTTTCCTTCTAACATGAGTAAACTGAAAACAAGCAGCACTCAGATCCCTCCTCGCAGGGTTTTTTAATTAGGCCGCCACCTCCTGTGGCCCAGCGCGGCTCCCAGCGCGGGCGGCACTCACCCCGTGATCATCCGCGTGGTCATGGAGGAGATCAGGAACCACAGGTGTCTCAGAAACCTGGCGTTAAAGGCCAAGCTGTAGAGAAGCCTGAAAGAGGACAAATCTGGAGTGAGCAAACACCCGCCTGCCCCTCCACCCTCAGGCGCACCCAGGGGGATGGCGCCAGCCAGGAGGCCTCACATCAGCAGAGGGCCCCCGTGGCCACGGCGGTCGGCACGCAGCTCCCCAGAGGCCCGTGCCGTCTGCTGGGGCACAGCTCCCGAGCGGGCTGAGGCTGCCCCACAGAGAAAGGGCACTGTCTCCAGGCACAAGCTGGGCGGTCCCTCTGGGGACACAGCAGGGCACACGGCATCCTGGGTCATCGTTTCTGAAGCACGAGAAGCCAGTCTCGGAGTGGCAGATGCTACGTCACTGCTGTTGACAGGATCGCGTTAGGGTTCTCTACGCTGACCAGCGTCTCCGAAGCTACCGAAACCTCAAGACACCTGGAGGCTCTGTAAGCCCCTCAGCTGAGTGTCGGTTTCGCTGCAGGCACCAGGGCAGGGCTGGAGGCTGCACCACGAGGGCACGCCCAGCGGGGAGCTCCGCGTGAGCCCTCCAGGAGCGCAGACGCAGCAGTCACACACGAGCCCCGGAGCAGAGCACGGTGACTGTGGCGGGCTGGCGGGGGGACGGGCCCGACTCCACAGGCGGGAGAAGGGTGGGAAGAGCACGCTGCTGAGGTTGCCCTGCTGTCGCTAACGACTGTGGCCGACGGGCTGGTCATCTACGCTTCAGCAGGTGTAATAACACAACTGACTAAAACTACCGACCGTGCTGAAGATTCCGCCGCTGACAACCGCACAAAGCCACCAGCGAGAGAGAACCACGCCTAAGGCACTCAGCCCAGCCGCCACTGCTGCGGGGGCACGGAGAACACAGGGCAGGAGCACAGGAGCCAGGCGCCCCGAGCACATCAGGTTCATGGTGCTCAGAAGACGGGGCAGGAGCGAGCACTTGCGGCCCCACGCGGTCTGGGCCCAGGTGAGGAACACAGGACAGAGTCCAGCGGCCCCTCGTGGTTTCTGGCGGGAAACCAGCACGGCCGCAGGGATGCTGACTGGGACGCCACTGCCTTAGGTTTCCACAGGACGGTGCTGACGGGGTATAAATAACGTTGGCCCTTCTGGTCCCTAAAACACACCGTTAAATTCCCATTTCCAAGTTCCTAGTTGCCAAAGGAACAAAGAGCCAGCCCCACGGCTCGCGCCCGTGCCCCCAGCACACACCCGCTCCCGCAACCGGAAACTGGCGTCGAGTGGGAATTAGAGGTGCCGTCGCAGCATCTCCACTTAGGAACAGCTCCCGAAGGATGACGCCCTGGGCTCACCGAACAGACCCCCGGGCAGGGCACGAGACGGGGGAAGAGGCTCGCGGGCAGGGGCAGCAGCCAGAGCTCCACACCGCGGTGGGGCCGGGCTCCGAGGCTCTCAGCAGCACAGATGCGCTCCGACGGCCTCCGCCCTCCTGACGAGAGCCCGTCACTCCTGTCCCGTCTCTTCCTTTTCCCACGTAAACGTGCAGCTTGGAAAGGAGCCATACGCGTGTAAAGGAGCTTCCAGCTCCTGCAACAGTCCTGACAATCCATGCTAAACAGGAATTGAAATTTCAGCTCCCAACCTTGCAAAGAAGAGGGGCGGCGGTGAGCCCGGGAGGGAGGGAGAGACCTACCGCCGGGGCGCTCACGCACCATCTCTCAACACCTAGAAGCCGGCGGAAGCAGCTGAAACCTGCAACTAGGCAGGCCTGCCTGCTCCTCTCAGCACCTCCGGCACCGCCCGCGTGAGCGCCGGGACAACCCCCAGCGCACTCTCGGCCCGGACAGGCGCTGTGCTGTGAGCCTCCCAGAGCAGGGGGCGCAGGGGGCGCCACAGTCACACCGCCCGCTCCCCAGAGCAGTGCTGCAAGGAGAGCCAAACCCAGAGCTCACCCCTGCCGTGAGCAAGTGCAGCGCGCCACCGACACCACGTCCCGAGCGCCGCACCGGCGCCGAGTGAGCAGGCAGCCGCCCCTCACGTGCCGTCCCCCTCGACGAGGCTTCCCACCCGCACGAGCTCGCCCGTGCTTTCCTCAGCGCGGTTAGGGCCGAGCCCTTCTTCTCCCTCAGAAGCCACAGAAATGAGTTTATCTGGTCTGCGGACGAACCCCAAGGGCCTCCACAGTCTGAGAAAGGTCCCAAACCGCAGTGACTGGTCAGACCAGACAAGGAGCCCAGCGTGCTCACTGGTGAGGGCGCGCGGTCACTTGCCTGACTCTGGGCACGGCCATGCGGTGCTGTACCATCAGCGTGTGGCAGATGGAGGCCATGAGTGTGAAGGCCTCCTCCCCGGCCGTGTCCCTCCAGACCAGGCTCAGCAGGGCGTTGGTCTGCTGCTTCGTATCCAGCTTCCTGAGACACTCCTCGGTGACGTGCGGGGTCGACAGCCTGCCGTCCTCCTGCAACACAGCAGACCGGCCGTGTGCGCGGGCACGGATCAGGCCTCGTCTTCTTCAAGCGCAAACACAGACAGGTACGCGCGGAGACGGCCACCGCACACCCTCTGCCGCCGCCCCGAGACGCTGCCAGGCGCCCAGTCACCCCAGGTCTGCGCCCGTTTGCCCAGGGCAGCGCAGGAACCGGGAGTGCTCAGTGCTCAGCTACTGGCGGGTAACGTGCTCAGCGCTTACATTTTTGAGAAAACTCCCTTCACATTCCTTAGAAGGCAGCACACACGTGTGAACGTGTATTCACATCTGACAGGATTTCCATTTTAAATAACTTGAGAGAGGAGTTTAATTTCCCAAAAAGACCTGATTTATGCCTGACACCCGAGGGAGGGGCGGGGGCAGCGTGCTCTGGAGGCAGGTGGGTGGGAGCACTGCGTCTCCCGAGCCAAAAGGTGCACCTGCAGCCGGTGCAGGCCGCACTTCTCTTTGCTCGCGTCCCTTCTGGTGCGGCGGGAGTGTGGGCAGGGCCGCAGGGGGCCCTGGCAGAGGCCCCAGCCGAGGCCCCCAAGGCACGGCCACCCACCTCACCTCCCCACTCACAGGTGCTCGCGCTCCTGGGAGAACCTGGGCCTCCCGGGGCGTCACACTCTTATTGGTCAGGTGAAGCTTTCCAACAAGAGCTAATCGTTTAGCTTCAAACCAACCATAGCCACACCCCGGGCCCTCCCAGCCGTGTCATTAGACGAGGTCGGAGGCCGATCAACGATGAGCCACGAATCATGTGCCCGTGGTTTTCATTCCTTGCACGGGCACAAGGAACGCAGCTGAGACAAGATGGGAAAAGTGACAAAGAACCTGAAACAAAACACAACGCTCACCCCCTCTACAATGGGCCAAAATCCCTAAGCAACACCGCTTGGTCCCCGCGAGACAGGAGACGGGACTGGGCCTGTCTCCCTCGGGCCGTGGGAAGGGCAGAGCGCTGACAGCGCCGCAGGCGCTGCCCCGCAGAGCAAGGAGGTGTTCTCCAATCAGACCCGGCAACAGCTGCAGAGACGTGGATGGAATGAAACTCGCTGGCCTGCACACGCTCCTCGGGTGAACGCAGGAAAGCTGACAGGGAAGAGCCCCCCGGAGCAGAGAGCGGCCCGCGCCTACCCAGAACGGGACTCAGCCACTGACGCCCGCCGCCCTCGGGGGAAGCAGGTCTCATGGACAGCGAGGCGCCCACACCCTGCTCTGCACCCCAACACAACCACACAGCTCGGGCTGCGCCAGCCACAGATGGGCGCTGGGCCCCGAACGCGGTCTCGGGGAGGGCCTGTCCCACTCTGTCTGAGGGCCTCGCGCAGGAAAACTCAGAAAATTCAAAGCGAGGATGAACAGAGTAGCGCTGCCCAGCGGCCCGGCCCGGCCCCCCCCCCCACCCCCCACCCCCAGGCTTACAGGGGCACTCAGCTGCTCGCCAGCCTCCTCGTGCTCGTCCTCGGAGTCGCTGGCTGAGTCCTGGCCGCTGGCATTGGCAGGGGAGACCGGAAGCTGAGCAAGAAAGGTCTGGAGCACTCTCAGGTACACCAGCAGCCCTTCCTCGGAGAGCGTCCCTTTGCAAAACAATCACAGCGCGAATCAGGAGTGACCAGTAGAGAGAACCTCAGGGCGTCTTGCTCCATGCCAGTGAGGTCTCGGGGCAGACTGGCGCGAGGAGGCGAGACCCCAGGAGAGGCCGAGGCCAACTAGTGCGTAGGCCCGGAGGTGTCTCCAACGCCACCACCCGCCAGGACACGGGCTCCAAGAGGATGCGCCCCCGGCCCCCGAGACATGATCCCGCTGCCAGCCCCGCCCCTTCCACTGCCACCACCTCCGCTCCCGGGCCCACAGGCTTCATACCCAAATGACTTTCGCCCACAGTCAGCACGAAGTGGAAGAGCCAGGGGGCCCTGGCATGTGTCCCCGAGTGCGCACCCCCTTCCCCCAGCAGCGCCCGCAGGAAGGGCTCATAGGGGAAGGCAGCCTGGGCATCGGCCAGCGCCGGGACCACAAAGTGGAAGATCTGGTCTGTAAAAGGTGCCTCCAAAAGCTCCTCTGTGAAGGCCGTGAAGACTTGCTGCCTGCAAGAGAGAATGGAAGCACCTGGTAAAACCAAGTCACACGGCCCGAGAACCCACCGGTCAAAACTAACTTTAAGCAATCCTTCAAAGTCAAAGTCCAGCGCTCCGCGGCGACCAGGCTGCCCTGGCGTCCCCCGCAAGGCGGCTTGGCTGGGCGCCGTTGCATGTAGCACCGGGGAGCGGGGGACAGGCCTGCCCCGACCTGGGTGCACACCAGGGCAGCCCTGGGCGCCGGGGCACCCCTCCGGAGCCAGCCACCCCAGAGGGGACACGGACCGCGTGCCGACACGTCAAAGAGCGTCCTGGGCAAAGCCACCGAGAGACACAGATCTTACAGAGCGCAAGCCGGGAGTCGAGTCCATTCTCACCTTGCCCCTTCTGGACAGGAGTTGTAAGTAAAGTGCAAAGGTTTTAGAACATTCTCTAGCAAAATGTTTGCTATGGGAACTCGAGAGAGATCAGAGTATTCAATACTTGACGGAAGCTTGCTGTTAATTAACAAATAGAGAGATCTGTAATACCCTAGAAGAAAGGAAGAACACGTTTAAAACCGGGCACCTTCCCTACCACGTGGAAAACGTCCATTTTTTACATCTCTCTAGATCCTCAGTTAACGCTTCTTCCACCTCTCGCTAAGGGAAACGTCAGCACACGCACAGGTGGCCCGAGCCGGGGGCGGCACCCACGCCCCCCCTCAGCGACCAGAGCCCAGCGCCACGTTCCAGAGCCAGCGCAAGAGACACCCCCAGGGTTCCGCCCCAGACCAGGGAGCCAGTGTTCCCCGAGGACCGCGGGCGCAGCTGAACACGCGGCGGCGGCGCCGAGGACCACACCCTCCGGCACCACGGCTCGGGTCTTCGACGTTCTACCACCATCACCTTCACCTGCCGGAGAGGCATCTACTCTCTCCCGCTGGCTGACCTCTCTGGCGTCCAGGAGCCCTGGAGTGACCTTCCGCCTGGGAGAGCTCGGGATCAAGCTAAAACACTGCACTCTGTTTTATATTGCTTAATTTGTCACACAAATTTTAAAAATGTTATTTCAAAGTCTTTTTCCAAAAGGGGGTGGCCACTGCGTCCTCAGGGGGACTTTCAGGTCTCGGTCACCAGACGCCCACACATCGCAGCTGCACTCGACAGCGTTGACGCTAAGGTCTGTGACGCCGAGTGGGTTCGGGCTGACTCTCTCTCCCCTGTGAACCCAGCTCAAGACCGAGACACCCTCCCGCGCCGGCGGGGCTGGGCTCTCTCCCGTTGTCGGCGGCATAGCCGTGCCCTCGCTCGGCTCCTGGGCTGGCCCTGCATGCAGACAGACCTTGCATCCAAGCACCTGGAACGATTTCTGACGCATGCATTAGTCTGTTTCATTTTCAAGCAATAGAACTTAGGTGAGGAGACTAAGCTCCCAGACTTTCCCGGGGACAGAGAGAGACCGGCGTTAGTAGACGTGACCTCAGGGGAGCCCTCGGCAGTGCCCACTGGAGGGTGGGACGGGGCCTAGAGGTGCTCGGCCCACCCACTCCACACACTAGTGCAAGGGCAGTGTTGACCCCCCCTCTACTCACCATTCTGAATCATGTAGTGCAAAATTTGCTCAATTACTGACACCACATAGCTAGCATCTTGTAAAACAGGCATATAAGTACTCTCAGATGAAAATACCTCGAGCATTCGCATGGGAAGCGCAACATTCAAACTGTCGTCGTTACAGCTCTGCAGCAACCTGCGGGCGGGAGAGCAGGCGGCTGTCACCAAGGCCCACCACATCAGCCGGAGACGGTCCCAAGAAGTCCCGGAGCGCCCCGTGCCAAGTGCACACGCACGCACGCACAGGGAGGGCGCGCTGGGAAGGAGGTGTCCTCCGAGAGGCACTCACACCCACACTCTGACTCCGCGTCACGCAGCGGGAGGCGCCAGAAGGGGCGACACTGCGGCTCCTCAGGACTCACCTGCAACAGAGGCTCATCAGCCTCTTTATCTGGAATAGACACGTGCGCCGCTCCGGCCCGTCCAACTGCTGGACGAAGAGGGCGCTGTGCCTGACCAGGCTCTGGGACATCCAGATCTGCAACGGCAGACGGGCAGGTCATGGCGCGGCAGCGCCTGGGGCAGCGGAGGCCAGTGTGGCCTGGCAAGTCGCCTCCTGAGGGGTTCCTCAGTGACGAAGACGTGTCTTGAGTTTTCCACGTTAAAATAACGCATCAGCGTTAAACAGGACGACTCCGTGTGTCACGGAGACCCAGCGCGCAGGCCAGGCGAGCGGGAGCCAAAGGGCTCGCAGGACCAGTGAGCGCCTCCTCCTGCCCACCCGCCCGCATGGAGGGCTGGAACGCAGGCAGCAGGACCCTCGCTGTGGTGCACCACCCGCTGGGCGGGCCCTGGCAGCACCGAGGCAGGCCACAGAGTCTCTGGCCACAGAGTCCTGGCCACTCGCTCCATGGTATTTTTGAAAAACCAAGACCAAGACCAAAATCCAAAACCCAGAGACTTTTTACTTGTTCATTTTATAAAACCTGCCTAGAAGCAGGTGGAAACGGGGGGCTGCTGTGCCCCCGGCTCTGGCACGAGGCCCCGCGTGGGCCCAGCTCCGCCGGGCAGCAGCTCGGGGCCTGAGCCTCATGGGGACAGGGCGGCCTGTCGGGCACCGGGGCTGACTGCCACATGGGAAACTGGCTCTTGGTAGGGGGTTCAACATGTTATTCTACTTCTCCTTAAATCCAGATTTTCTGTAACACGAAAGTGAAAAGCCAACTGAAAATTTATATCCATGTTCAAGAGCTGAGCCGCCAAGGCGGCCTGCTCCGAGGCACTCACCAAACGCTTGGCATCCTCATTCTGCTTATAAAAGAAAAGCAGCTGCCTCACCAGGAGGGTAAGGCTGGGGCCGGGAGGCACGGGAAGCGAGCCAGACAGGCTGGCGCTGCGGTCGAACGCGCTCCTCTGGATGGAGAACTGCGGGCAGAGACACGGCGGGGTCAGGCTGCGCAGGGCCTGGCACACGCGCTGGGAAAACTGCCCCCGCCCCCAGCCTAGGAACACCTGCCCGTAACGCTCGTACACACGACCGAGCATCTACCGGGAAGTAGCCGGCGCCAAGGCCCCGTGGAGAACAAGCATCCCCGTGCCTCTCACGTTCCGCTTCACCAAACCCCACTTACTTGCTGTTTTCTGTCTCGGTAGCCTCGAATAAATGACTGGATGATGATTGCATTTTTCAGCCTTCGCCTTTCTTCCTGAAGGATGGAGGGAGGGCAGGGTCACCGGTCAGCCAGCAGAAACGACAACTCACCAGCGAGACTTAGAGACACTGCCACGGCACTCCCACACCCAGAGCCTGCCCCAAACGGGACCAGGGCCACCCCGACTTCAGAACACTCCGGCCCAAGCCCCTGGCCGCGGTCAGCGCTCACCCTCACGGCCCCCTCCCCTGCCACCGCTGGCAACCGCCAGTTTTCTGTCTTGGTGAAATTGCCGATTTGGGCGCCTCAAACAACGGAGCCACCGAAAGAGGGCCTTGGCCTCCGGCTCCCCACTGGGCGCGTCCTGCAGGCCGTGTGCCCGGCAACAGACCCTGTGACCCTCGAGGATGAGGGACGGACAGGGCTGTCTCCGCGCCGGGCTATGTGGGAGGTGTGGCTGCGGGTGCTCGCGCAGGGGGCATGGCCCAGGCTGCCCCTCGTGGGCACACGGCTGGGGCGAGGGAACCTCTAAGGACCCACGGGGCCCCAGAAGCGGCTGCCCCACTTCACGACTCCAAGCAGGGGCGGGCAAGCACAGGCCGCACAGACATGTTTTTTGTGAAAAGACACTTGAGCGCGAATCTCGAGCAGCAGCGATCCCCCTACTGCCGCAGAAGGCCTTCCCCTCCGCCGCCGCCCCTGCGGCCCCCACCGGGAGGCCAGCGGCAGCGCTCACTGGCACTTGGACCGTCGTCCCCCCGTGTGCAGGGCTGGTGCCAGCGCGGAAGCCCGGGCAGAGGCGAAAGCCGTGGGAGCCAGGCGTGCCTGGGGCGGTGGTGGGGCTGCCCCACCCGCCCCCACACAGCTCCCCAACCCATCGCCCCGGGCCAGGTGCCGTCTGAACCTGAAGTGGCCTAACAAGGGAGCGCCTGAGCTACCGGGGACGCCCTCCGTGTCCGAGCTGACTGAGAACATGTGGCTAACAACGCAGACGCCAGGTCACGTGCGTGTCCACGGCATTTCATCCATTCAATCGTCCACTGAGGAGGGTGTCCTGGCAACGTCCCACCTCTGCTGGGAGCTAACGGTCAGTCCTCACGAGGCCCGATGCCCAGCTTGGAGTCAGCCCAGCCTCCCATTTCTAGAGGTGACCCGTAGTCTCCCACTGGCCTGCAGGGCAAAGGGAACGCCCAGAGCCCGGAAACTGCCGCTCCGGCGCTGAACTAGGCAGGCGAGACTCTGGAGAGCCAACACCACGCGGGCACGCGGCAGCAGCGACTCCGCAGGGGATCCAAACTCTGGAGCGTAAGCGTTATTCGTTTTTAAATTGGCACATGAACAGCTGAGCCCCCGCTAAAGAGACAAGCAGGAAAGCAGGAGTCTGGTTGGCAGCACGTGCCCGAGCCAGAGAGCCGATGTTCACGGGGGGCGCGCAGGAGCGGGGAGGCCCCCAGCCTGGCAGAGGCCGGCCAGCCCCTGTGCTTCCAGGCCGAGAGGAGAGCGGGGCCACGGGAGCAGCACTGCAGCGCGTGGAGAGACGGAGGCTGAGGGCGCTCCAGGGAGGCGAGACGCCAGCGGCGTGCCTATGCGCTGGGCTGAGCAGCGGTTTTCAGCAGAGGCAGTTCCAGCCCTCAGCGTCCTGTGCTGGTTCCGGGGGTGGCTGGCATCCCCCGGGGAAGGGCACCTGGCGGCTGGGGCCACAGGAGGTGCTGCACCCACTGTGTGCACCACAGCCCCGTGGTGCCTGCATCTGCTGTTTCTTCTCAGCTCCCCAGAGCAGCCCCGGCTCCTGCACAGGCCTTGGCGAGAGGCACCGCCATGACCCCCACCCCAGCCCCGGCCTGCACAGCCCGAGCGGGCGGTGGGAGCAGCACCCATCCCCGAGCAGGGCACACCGTGGGTCTGACCCACCGTGGACACGCCCACGCCGGCAGAATGACCCCTGCAGCGTAAACTCCTGGCCGGCTTGTCCAGGGATGGCCGGACGCGAACACCCACACAACGCCCGCTGGCGGAGCTCCATGCCGTGGGGCCGGGAAGGCACAGACACTGCACGTCCACACAGCAGGCGACTCCGCCAAGCAAAGCAGCAGCGGCCTTTCGCCACAGAGGCGGAGGCGCTAAGCCTGGGGGGTCGGAGGTCGTAAGGGAGGGCGGTGGGGAGCTCAGCGTGTCCAAAGCAGCGAGCCCAGAGAGCAGGCCCGCCGGACTCCCGGCGAGGAAGGGGAGGGAGGACACGGCCGTGGCCGGCCCTCAGGGCGTGGGGACCGGGCCTCGGGAAGCCCGCCCGGGGGGCAGACAGCAGCTCGCCCAGGCTGGGTCTCTGAGACCACGTCTCGGGTGAGGGAGCGGGATCCCGGCGGCGCGGGGCAGACGCGGTCCCGGCGGCAGCGAGGCCGGGGAGGCCCGTCGGGTGGCGGGAACAGAGCCGTCCTCACCTCTCTCTTTCTTCTTTCTTCCTGAGTTCGGTGTAAGAGAGACGCCTTTTCCTCCTGCGCCCGAAAGGAGAGAAAAGGAGGTTATCATTTCAAATCCGGACACATGCTCACCCACCGCCACGACGGCTGGCACAGAAAGGCCTCGGGGCGGTCGGGCACTGGGCAGAGGCGCCCTGCGGAGCGGACACGGGCGGCCTTGCGCGGCTTCACGAGCTGCAGGCGTGTCTACAGTGGCCTCAAAACTTGACGTTAGGGCCTCCCTGGTGGCGCAGCAGTTGAGCACTGGGCTGCAACAGGTTCGATCCCCGGCCACCGGAGGAGGGTCCCACATGGCGCGCAGACCTCTCCTGCCGCCCGCTGCTCCCCTCAGCAGTGTCCTTCGGTCCTTCTGCCTGCTCTGCTCCCCGCTCTGGCTCTGGTGAATCCTCTCACCCTCCCGCGCTTCTGACTGTACCCAGTGCTTGTGTACATAAATAAATAAATCCTGGGCCTCCCCGGTGGCGCAGCGGTTGAGCGCTCGGTTGCGAAGCTGCCCGCGGCCTCTGCGGCGCCGGTTCGATCCCCGGCTGCTCCCCGGCCACCAGAGGAGGGTCCCGCATGGCGCGCAGACCTCTCCTGCCGCCCACTGCTCCCCTCAGCAGTGTACTTCGGTCCTTCTGCCTGCTCTGCTCCCTGCTCTGGCTCTGGTGAATTCTCTCACCCTCCCGCGCTTCTGACTGTACCCAGTGCATGTATAAACAAAAACAAACAAACAAACAAATAAATAAATAAAAAAACATGCCTCTATAAAAAAAAAATAAATAAATAAATAAATAAATAAATCCTTAAAAAAAAAAAAAACCCAAAAAACTTGATGTTAACAGTCTACTTGCAAAAAAAAAAGCCTATTTGCTGTTATCGCATCACGTTTCCTTTCCTCAGCACAACTCCGTCTCGGACGCAGGCACGGCGTGAGCCGGGCGCCGGGGCGGGCGCTGACAGGAGGGCGCAGCCTCCAGCATCAGAGCTGACAACCCAAGAATCAGTCCTTGAGATGTTTTTCCATTATCGAAGGTTTCATTTCTAGAGCAAAAATAGTAAGCCAAAGTAATAGAAAGCCTTTATCACGAGTCCAAAGTCAGAAAAAACACTGCTTGAGATTTAATCCATTTGAAGGGGGAGGCTGACCAGGAGCCCTAGATCCACAAGGAGCCCCCACCCTGGGAGGCCGCCTGTCCGGGACAGGGCGAAGAGCGGAGCGCCCCCCACCGGGCGCGCGGGCACGGGCGCCAGTCCCGTGGAGGTGCCCGCAGCGCCGGCGCCGCGGGGCAAACGCTCTCCAACAAGGCCGAGGCGTGCGCGGGCAGTGGACGTTCGAGGGCCTCCGGGAGATTCCACGGGAGCTGGGGGGCCCCCAGTGACAACGGTGGCACTTCCAGAGGGCCGAGAGCGCGCACCCCCCCCCACCCCCGGCCAGCGCTGAGACGGGGCGGGCCGGGAAAGGACGGGACGCGGCCCTGGGGACGGACCCGGCTACGAGGTGACGGACCCGCGCACGCCGCATCGGCGAACGGCCTGGGAAGGTGGGGACGGCAAGAATTTGAAAAAGGTTCCTCCGAGGAGGACCTCGCCACGAGGGGCAGGCCACACGCCGCGCCTGTCCGCCCCCACTCGACCAGGACGGGCCCGGCAGGGGAAGGAGAAAGGGGGGCCGGCGCCTGCACAGTCACAGGCGGGCGGGGGCGCTGCGACGTTGCTTTTTTCTCTTCTCTGTTTTTAATTTAACTTTACTGTTTGCACACCGAGGCGCAGCCTTCACTGAAAGGCCAGGTCTCTGTGGAACAAAGCTGCTGTCATTATTTAAGGCCTTAAATTACTTAAGAATGGGGCCTCCCCAGCGGCACAGCGGTTGAGCCGCGAAGCTGCCCGCAGCCTCGGCAGCGCCGGTTCGATCCACTGGGCGAGGGTCCCACACGGCGCGCAGACCTCTCCTGCCGCCCGCTGCTCCCTCAGCAGTGTCCTTCGCCAGTCTGCCTGCTCTGCTCCCCGCTCTGGCTCTGGTGAATCCTCTCACCCTCCCGCGCTTCTGACTGTACCCCGTGCTTATAGTAACAAAAAAAATTACTTAAGAAGGACCAACTTGTCCAGAGAAAAATCTACACTTTCTATGTACAAAATTATCTCAAGTTCTAAAAAATGACAAAGTAGGAAAAAGAATTTGCAACAGGGCCTCCCTGGTGGCGTCAGGGGTTGGGTGTCACACTACGAAGCATCGGTAGCCTCTGCCCCACGGTGCAGACCTCTCCTGTCTCCCCGCTGCTCCCCTCAGCAGTGGATTTCAGTGGATCCACCTGCTCTGTTCCCCACTCTCTGGTGAGTCCTCTCACCCCCACACCTCTGGCCTGCACCCCAGTTCTTACATGCATAAATAAATCTTCTTTCATACAAAATATTACAGGTTTATTTTACAAATGGATCTTTATTTACACAAGAGCTGGAGTACAGGTCAGAGGTGCGAGGAGAGAGAGGATTCCCCGGAAACAGAGCGGGGAACAGAACAGGCAGACGGACTGAAGACACTGCTGAGGGGAGCAGCGGGGAGACAGGAGAGGTCTGCTGCGCCCTGTGGGTAGCTCCCTGGCCGGCTGGGAATCGAACCCGCGCTGCAGAGGCTGCGGACCGCTTCACAGCGCTGCGCTTGACCCGCTGTGCCTCTGGGGAGGCCCCTGCATAAATAAATCTTAAAAAAAAAAATATTATTTGTAACCACCCTCAAGAGTAACTTGGAAAGCTCAGACAGGAAAGCAAGGACGGCCGTGAAAGTGCTGCACGACAAGGGCAAGGACCAACATGCCTCTTAAACGTTCTCACCTCATCTGAGGGAAAAACACAATGGGAACAGTGACGTCGCGCTGAGACCTCACCGGCAGACCTGAGAGCCCAGAGGCCGCTGCTCCTCACGCGGGGCCCGCCGTCGCTGGAACAAGGGCCGGCAGACCCGGCAGGGGCCAGCAGCGCAGGGCGCCGAGGACCCCGAAGCCAGGGCTGAGGCGCAGCTGCAGGAAAGGCTGCAGGAGGGAGGGGCTCTAGGGGCAGGGCCGCGCACCATGGTCATGGACCCCTGAATCCGCGCGCCCTCCCCTGCTGGGGCACACCGCGCAGCACCTGAGAACGCTTCATGTGGCCGGGAGGAGCAGCACAAAAAGGCACCCCCAAAGTGCTGCAGACCTTGATTCCTACCAAGTCTCTTGGCTTCAGTTTCCTGCACTCGCAGCGCCCGGGAGCCGGCCCTGCCCCGCCGCGAGCCCTTCCGAGCACGCACGCGACAGCGCCACCGACAACGGCGTTTCCAAAATGGAAAAAATTTTTTTCTTCACACAAATAAACGTGGTGGCTACTCTAAGGCCAGGCATATCCAGCTTAACGTTTGCTAATTAACCATCAGACTAACAAAATTGACAGTAAAAAACGTGAGTATATGTCAACGTAAATTTATGCGACGTGGCAAGGGCCATAAAGAGAACCCGCGTGACGGCTGCCTGGTCACAAAATCAGCGCGCCGCGCCGAGCAGCATCCTGGCCTAAAGACAACCGTGGGCCCCTCCGTGCAGCCCACCTGGGTCACCGCCCACCAGCAACGTGCTGGCCACGCTGCGGACGGCAGCATCAGCTTCAGTCCGCATTCTCCAGCCTCCAAGCACTGGCGTGACTCAAAGAACAGACAAGATACTTCCCTTCCAGATAATCAAAATGTGAAAATGTCCGCAGCCTCTCGGCGTGAGTTTGATCCCCGGCCAGGGAGCTGACCCACGTGGCGCGGCAGACCTCTCCTGTCTCGCCTGCTGCTCCCCTCAGCAGTGTTTCGGTCAATCCACCTGTTCTGCTCCCCACTGTCTCTGGGGAGTCCTCTCACCCCCCCACACCTCTGGCCTGCACCCCAGTTCTTGTGTGCATAAATAAATCTTTAAAAAGAGATACAACGTGAAAAGATGGCAAAAGGATTATTTGCCAATACTGCACGGCCTGGGATTTGTGGGGTTTCTCGTCTGAACACCCTCCATGAAAATCCAGGAGCAGCCGGCTTCGTGTACAGGCGTCAGCACGCAGAGCATTACTGTCCCCCCGCCGGAAAGCACAGGCCAGAAAGAAACGCGCACGCATGTCAACAGCGTCTCATTTGCTAGTGGCCAGTGGAAGCCACAACAAAATGGTCCTGACCCAAACCCCGCTGCGGAATAGTACGCACCCAGCAAAAACGCAGCCCTGAGCTAAAGGCGCTGGCGGGACCGTCGCCACAGGGCTCACCTGTTTTCATTCGAAAAGCGCACAGGGACGCGACCGTGTCTGCACGGAGACTGTGGAGACACAGGGGTCTCCCGGCCTCAGGGGAAGGAGGGACTTCGTGCTGTGCCGGTCAGAAGGATCCGATTTGTTGTATGTTTTTCCCAAATGAAAAAGGTAACGTTCTTTAATGCTCCCCGACGGGGGGCTGGAAACGAAGACCGGCCAGGGCAGGCAGGTGGTGGACACGCGAGTCCGACTGCCCTGTCTCGGGGCACGCCAGGGAGAAGCCCGGAGCCCGAGCCAGGCCGCCGTCAGGTCCGGAGAGAAACGTGCGCTCAGGTGTCCGCCGCCCCGGCAGGAAAGGACGGGGGAACAGGGCGCCGCCGGCTGCTGCCAGGCCTGGGCCGGGGCAGCAGCATCACAGGGAGACTGACCCGAGGGACACAGGTCGTGTCCTTTGGGGTGGGGGGGGACACCCAGCAGGGGCGCAGGACAAGCCTGCAGGTCGCGGATGCCAAGGGATGATCTGGACTGAGCCCGGGGTCCCCTCTGCTCTCAGAACAGGAGGCCCGAGGAGGCCCCACACCCCTCCCCGGCAGCGCACAGCCCAGAGCCCGGGCGGGGGGCAGCAGGGAGGGGACCCCGGGCACAGGAGGCGCTGGCCCCCGCCTCTGTAGAGAACAGCGGCCGAAGGCCTGCCGGGTGCAGACCCGGATGGAGCAAGTCGGCTTCGTCCCCATGTGGCCTAAACACGGTCGCGCTTGCTGCGAGGTTGCCGTCCGCAGCCGACACCCACGCAAGCTACCCACGATCCAGCAGCGTTTGCACCCGCCTCCCACAGTCACTGGGGCTGCTTCACCGTGAAAGAGAACACAAAGCCAGACTCGGACTTTAGGACTCAGACTGGACGACCCTCCCGTGCCGTGGGGTGCCCCGGAGCGCGGGCGTCTTGGGGCAGGGCTCCCAAGCACAGGGCACCGCAGACCTCTCCTGCCCCTCGCCGTCCCCCTCAGCAGTGATTTCGGTGGATCTGTCTGTTCTGCTCCCCACTCTGTCTCTGGGGAGTCCTCTCACCCCCGCACCTCTGGCCTGCACCCCAGCTCTTGTGTGCATTAAAAAAAAAAAAAAATCTTAAAAAGTGGCACCTACTCAGTGTTCCATTAAACTCGAGAGAGAAGATTTCAGTTAATTTAGGACATGGGAGGAAAAAAAAAAATCAGCAAAACCTTTTGCTTTTTAGCCAGGGAACGACTTCGCTGCAAGCAGGGAGGGTGGGGGCAGACCAGACACCACACGCGTCGCTGCCGCGAGCCGCCGGGAAGCCGCTGGGACAGAAGCAGCGGGGTTCGAGGGCCTGACACGCTCGGTACTGGCGAGGAGGGGGAGGCCTTGGCCCGGGGGGCGCAGTGCCCAGAGTGCCCCTGTGAGGTTCGTGCGCCAGCACAGGACAGTGTGTCCGCGGGGGCCGCTGTCAGAAAGCAGCAGGCCCTGGAGGGACAGTCTGCGCCACAGCCACGCCAGCACGCACTGCCGGCCTCTCCCAGGAGTGGGGGGCAGCGCGGAGCGGCCGCAGGCGCCTCTGTCATCCAGATGGGCGCCACCCAACTCGCTGCGCTGCTGCTGCTCTGAGCACATCTTCAGATGGACCAGGATGAGCTTTCTTGGGGGAGGAGGCAGCTGAGGGAAGGGAGCCCAGGGGCCGGGAGCGCGGCTGACACGGGTGGCCCCTCGGCATGTTCACAGGCAAAACCCTTCAAGTAGAACCTGCGTGGACTCAGCTGGGAAGACCCTTCCCAATTTCACTGGCCCGCAGACCTCCCCGGGGCTTTCGGAGAGACGGGCCCAGGCCGAGCACCCGCAGGGTCAGTGGCCCTGACCGTGGGCTGAGGCGCTGTCCCAGGCGCATCTCCAGCCGGGAAGATCGATTCCCCACCCCCGCTGACAGGCAGCCACCCTGGAGGACAGTTCCCAGCATGCCGTGTTGGGCGGGAGCCGCTGGCAAGAAGCGTGGGATGGATAAAAGAGGTGGGACACCGCAGGAGGGGAGGCCCTGGGGAGGCCGGAGCAGATAAGCAGAGGCACCCGGAGGAGAGATGGAGAAGAGACCACCCCATCCTCAGCAGCCAAGGGCAGCTGTTCCTTGGCCTCTGGGGGGGTCAGACGCATTTTCAGTGTATTTTCACTTTCAGTGAATTTTCAGTGCTGGGTCTCCCCTGCCCTGGCTCTCTGGGACCTGCCCAACCCCTTCTTGTAGGTCCCTGCCGGACGGGCCTGGGACGCAGGGCAGGCTTTTGGGCCCTGGCTGCCCTGCTTTGGGCTGAGTCTTGAGTGCAAGTGGATGGGTAAGTTCTGGAGTTTTTTTTTTAAAGATTTATTTATTTTATACAAGAACCGGGGTACAGGCCAGAGGTGCGGGAGGGTGAAAAGGACTCACCAGAGACCAAGTGGGTAACAGAACAGGCAGAGTGACGAAACACACTGCTGAGGGGAGCAGCGGGGAGACAGGAGAGGTCTGCCGTGCCGTGTGGGTATCTCCCTGGCTGCCCGGGATCGAACCAGCGCTGCAGAGGCTGCGGACAGCTTCACAGCGCGGCGCTCAACCGCCTGCGCCACCAGGGGAGGCCCAAGTTCTGGAATCCGTTATTTGAAATCCTTTATTGTCTCCTCTCTACAGACACCAACGCCATGAAAAGTCCTGCACAGAGTATGCTTTCTGTGCTTCTGTGCACCTTGGGATGTGGACCCCTTAATAGTCCGGGGTCCCTGGGCACCCTGGGTTGCAAGCCTACAGCTTTGCCTCCGGGAGAAGGAAGACGTGGTCCTGCACAACTAAAAAGCAGCGTGTGCCATCTCCTCCGGAGACTGATCAGCAAGTATCTTCCTCGGAGCAGAGATGTGCTGCTTGATAGAAACAAACACAGACCAACAGCCTAGCAGCGCACCCACAACCCCGACCACAGGCCACGAGGGCGCCGGAAGATATGAGGGGAAGCTGCCACAAGATTGCGGGTGTGCAACACCCAACAACTGCTCAGCTCGGGCCTTCCAGGTTTGCCAAGCAGGAGACCAGGCCCTGAACTCGCCGATCCGGCTCCCCAGACAGGGCCCTTGGGCCACGTCTGGGATTCTCAAAGAACACGGTGACCCACCAGCCCACAGCTGGCCCCTCAGCGAGTGACCTCCCACCGGTCCCCTGGGCTCCCCAGTCAGAGTGGAAACCAGCAGCTCCGCCTAGCCGAGGTGCCCCCTGTCCTCCCAAGTCCTCTCACCCCCCCGCACGGTTCTACAAGGATGTGCCCGCCCGGACGTGAGCGCTGACCCAGTTCAGCGCAATTTACAGAGCACGCTCGGCAGACCCGCAAGCATTCGGCAGACGCTGCAGCAACTACCGGGTGAAAAACAAGCTCATTGCAGACCCCAAAGCCCTTCCCACACGTCAGGCCCGGGGCCACGCTTCCGTTTCCAGCGGGAAAGGGGTCTCGGGCCTGCACGGCGAGCGCGCGGGCGGCGACTGCGGCTACCGACGCGCCACGGCGTGTCCACCGCGTGCCCACCGCCCTCCGCGGCTCCCCGAGCTCCGGGGTCGCCGTCACAGGGCAAGAGCCCCCGACGTCCAGCCGCGCGGCCCCAGAGGGGCGGGCGGCACCCCCCGGCCGCGGCCGACGAAGGGCAGAGAGCGGGGGGCACGCGCCGGCCGCGCCGGGACCCCACGAACGGACGACCGCGCCTGCGGGACAAGCGCCTCGCGCCCGCGGCCGGGGCCCAGGCGCGCCCCCGCCCCCGCCCCCCCGACCCCCCGCGCCCACCTGCCCCCCGGCGCCCCCCGGCCCCGCCTGCCGGTGCCCGCCTGCCCCCCCTTACCTTCCTGCTCGCGCCCCCGAGGGACACCTTGGGCCGCGTCTTGAAGTCCCCTTCGAAGCTGAACATCGCGGCGGCTTAGCCCTCGGGGGCGGCCCGGCCCGAGCGCGGCGGGGCCCGGGGGGCCGGGGGGGCCGGGGCCCCGGGGGCGGCGAGGACGAGGCCGCGCCGGGACGCGAGCCCCGCGCACCTCAGGCTCCCGCGCCCGGCCCGGCCCTCGGCGGCGCGGCGGCGACGCTGCGGCGCGGCTGCCCCCCGCGCGCCCGCATCCACGCCTCCCGCTGCGGCCCGGCCGAGGGGCGCCGCCGCCGCCGACCCGCGTTCGCACCGGGACGGCCGCGGGGAGGGAAGATGGCCGCCGGCGCGGCTGCGTGCGCGGCCCCGCCCGCGTGCGCGCGCGCGCCACCGACGGCGCGGCGCTCCTTCCGGCGTGCGCGCGCCCGTCATCGACGGCGCGTCGGGACGTGGGAAGGTGGAGCCGGGCTCTGCGGCGCGGGCTGGGCGCGGGGCGGGGCGGGGCCCGAGGGGGCGGGGCCGGAGGGGGCGGGGCCGGAGGGGGCGGGGCCGGAGGGGCGGGGCCGGGGCGCCCGCGGGACCAGCCGCGCGGGGACCGAGGACGCCCCAGAAACGCCACCGCGAGCTGCTCTGCTCGGCCCCGAGCCGGGGGTCGCCGCCCGGCCGCAGACAGCGCCTGCCCGCCCCGCAGCGTCCTCCGGGACAGGCCCCAGCGCCGCCCGGGCTCCGCGCTCCCGACGCCCGTCTCCGTGCCCCGGGGACCTCGCCGGCGGCTCGTCTCCGCGGGCCTGGGGCGGAGCAGGGTCGGAGGGCAAAGCGGAGTCGGGGCTCGGGCGTGGGCCGGCCCTCCCCCCCGCCGGGCTGTCCCCTCGGCGGCCCAGAGCTCCCGGCCAGGCCCCCCCCGCAGCAGGCGGACCCCGGCCGGCCGGCTGCAGTGGCCTCCCTGTCACCGCCGGGGCGCCCGTCCCTCCCCCCAGCCCTGCGCGTCCGCCCGGGGCTCAGCCGCGGGAGTCGGGGTTGCCCGGCGAGGGATGGGTCTTCCCACCCCCGGGACCCGGCAGGCAGGCCCCCGGCGCTGCTGTGAGCGGGTGCCGGGGCCACGAGGGCCCTGGCCCTGTCTGTGCACCCCGCGGGGACGCTCCACGCTTGGAGCTCAGTGTTTCCACGTCAGGCGAGACCACGCTGACTGCTGCCCGGGGCCTGGCCCTGCGGCCCAGCCCCTCCTGGCCTGCGCCTCCCTGAGGCCCTGGGCCGCACCTTCCCAGAGGGGCTCACCTGCCGCCAGCCAGGACGGTCCAAAGGTGCGTGGCACGTGGTGTGGGCAAGCCCCACAGGCCAAGAGGGTGTGACCCAAGACGAGCATCCCCTCCCCGCCAAGACACTTGAGCACGAGGCGACGCAGCCCTCGATGGCCTGGCCTCCGGAGGAAATGAGAAAGGAAACCAGGAACATAAAGGCCACTGGCCACAGTGAGGGGCCAGCGGCCAGTGCTGCCAGCCTTGAGGGGCCACGGGTGCCCAGGCACCGGGAGGGTGTGCCGGGTGCACCTGTGTGCGTGGGGGCGTCGTGCTCCCGGTCCTCAGACCCAATTTTGTGACTTCAGGGCAAGCAGGGAGTGAGAGCCGGGAGGAACCCGGCAAAGCATGATGAGAGGCCAGGCAGAGGCCAGCTCCCGGCAGGGGACAGCGGTGTCCAGCCTGGCAGGGCTGGAGGCCTGTGGCTGCCAGATGAAGGGGGCAGGTCCTCAGCACAGAGAAGGCCGCACCAGCTCCTCGCACCCTGGAGCTCTGTGCGGTCAGCGACCACCCTGACTTCTGACCACAAAATGTTTAAGGTGAAGCGCTATGGTTCTATTTCTGCTGGGAGCTGAACCTCAACACAGCAGGGCCACACCCTCGCAGCTGCACATCACGCTGTCCCTCGCAGCGCCCTGTCCTGAGCCGCTGCAGGGGCACTGTAGGGTAAGGGAAAATATCAGGCTTTTCTGCCCTCCCGCCATCAGGATGGATGATGGATCCTTGTGGTCCTGAACGCATGCCTGATGGCGGCACCTGGAGTGGGGTGTGGGCCTAGGTAGATGGGATTCCCCTGGGCTGAGACTGGGCTTTTAAGGGCGGCGTCACGGGGACGCCAGCAGAAGCCAAGAACGAACAGAAGCCGAGAGAGAAGCAGAGAAGCAGAAGCCGAGAGAAGGCCGGAGAGCCCAGAGCGAAGACCTGCTGGGGGCTGGGAGGCCTGCCAGCCTCCCGGCCCCCCAGCACCCCTGCCTGCCATGTACCTGGTAATCCCAATGAAAGACCTGCTAAACCACTGAGGACTCTGACTCCTCCTTTACCTGGTCTGCTGGATCCTAGAAAACCTGCTCAGTGGTCATTCCTGCCTCTGCAGGCACTCACACCTGTGCTCAGCTCTCAGAGGGAGCGGGTGGCCGCATTTCCTGGCTGTGCAGTGCTGGTCAGAGGCCAGAGTCTTGCCTCTGGTCAGTGAGAGAAGTCCGGCCCCCTGAGGGCTGTGCCCCTGACCCTCCCCACCATGGCTTTGACGTCTTTGGCTTTGTTTGCCAAGTGGGTAAACGCCTTGTTGGGCCAAGGCGGAGGCCTGGCCCAGGTGGTCCCCTGAAACGATAGTTGAGTGGCACAGCATGTCAAATAAGCTCGGTCATTCTAGACTACCCTGATCAGCACTACACAGATGCACCTGAAGGACATCTTGCTGAGTTCCTAGGCCAAAAAAAAAAAAGACTGACAATAAACACTGTCAAAGACCGAGTGTTGGCAACACGCTGCTTGCCGGCCGCCGGCACCGTCTCTACGCGTCCCGGTCATCATCGTTTTAATCATTTAAAAAGGTTAGACAATTAAGAGTGTGTTTGGCAGGCCGCCAGCGGTGGGAAGCAGGAGGCCAAATTGCAAATTGTCCAGATGCCTTGGCCAGCAGACTCGGGGTCAAGGAGAGCAAGGCCTGGCGCTCAGGCCCCAGGCCCACCGTGTTTTGAATCGCTTAGACTTCCCTTCAAAGACCCTGAAGATCACTGAGGCTGGCGCAGCTGTGGAGAGCAGGCGCCCCCTGGGCCGGGCTCCAGGCCTGTGCGGTGCGTGTCCGCGGCCAGGGACATCCTGCAGGCCCGCCGGCCACCTGCCAGCTGCAGAGACTGGTACTCGGGGAGGAGGTGGTGCGCGGGCAGCGGGCGCATCCCTAGAGGGGTGACCTCCAGGCCCGCTCTCCCGGACACCACCCCCCCCCCCGCCCTGCCACCGCCGCCACAGGCTCCGCGCAGATTTCCACGCGACTTGTTTACTCGGGAAGCGCCGTGACAGGAGCCCGCAGGTGAAGAAGGTGAGGTCAAGAGCGCCTGCCCGAGCGCCTGGCGGCCAAGCCCAGCCCAGAGAAGCTGCCAAGGGAGGAAGACGTTTTATTTAAAATTACACTGGCTCGAGACCATCAAAGGATCCTTAACATTTTCATTAAGCTGAGACTCAGGTAGAGGCGGGCAGTAAATCTCCTGCTGCGAGGGGCCGGCCTGCGGCGGCGCACACCCAGAACCAGCGGCCGGTTCCAGCGTCCTCGCCTGCCTGACCTTCGTCCTTCCGGGGGACCCCAGGTGGCCAAGGTCCCCGTGAACTGGGGGGCCTGGAATCGGGGCCTGCTACTGCCCACCCCCCTCCGCAAGAGTGGCGAGCACACGGGGCGGCGCTGGGGCCAGAGGTTCCCCCGCAGAGCAGTCGCGGGCATGAGCGGGACCAGGGGGGCTGCCCTGGCCTCCAGCGCCCCTGGCCTGCGCGCCTCTGGCTGGTCCTGAGCTGGGCATCTGCCCACCACGCAGGTCCTCCTGACACCATGCCCACCACTCCCGGCCGGGCCCCCACCCACTGCATCCTCGCACACAGGCTTCGCACTCGCCGGCTGTCAGCGCCGACGGCCCCGCAGGACGGCAGCCACAGAGGTCCTGCCCGGCCCGGGGCCGCTTTGCGTTCTCCCTTCTGGTGGCCGCGCTGCCGTGGCTGCTCAGGAGTGGTGAGTCCCCGGAGCGGCCACCCAGGAGCTGGAGGGACACAGCCCGGCCGCAGCGCAGCTCAGAGAGAGCCTGAGGTGCAGGCAGAGTGGGAGGTGCCGGTGCTGCTGAAGACAGGGCTTGGTGTGGTCCCCGTCCCCGAGGCGAGTCCTCAGGGGAGGCCGGGCGCTGAGCTGCTGCTCCTGGCTGGGGCAGGTTGGGCGCTGGGTTGGCTGGGACCCGGGAAGGCGCCCCAGGGGGCAGCCCCCGGGCGCAGGTGACAGCCTGAGGAGCTGAAATCTGCACCTGGTGGTGGCTGGGTCACAAAAGCAGCTGAGAGACAAGCTGGAGGCAGAACCCTCGCCTCGAAAGCAAGGCCCTTTGGGCCCGTGGCTCACCCTTAGCTTAACTTTGGAAAGTGTATGGTTATATTTATGATTATATTTTTATGATTGCATTTTTCCTGAGGAAATGTGATTACTTTAAAATATTTTATGTATTTCTGAGGTGCAAAGACTGACACACAGATATTAAATAGATGGATATTAAGTAGAACAAAGATTGATCTCGGTGGATCCCGTCCAACCCTCTCATTTTACAGATTAGAAAATCTGAACTCAGAGAAGGCAAGAAAATTACCCAATGGATGCAATTTCCAATTCTCATTTTTTATATTAATATCATGATGCCTTGTTTATTAGCCTCAAATTATCTCATTCACGCTTCAGAGAGTCTTTTCCTCACATCTCTGACGAGCACCCAGGCTGGGCGGCAGCGGGGCCCTCTTTCCCTCCCGGGCCTGCCTCTCCCGGGCCGTGGCGGCTGGGTCCTCTGCCCAGGGCGCCTGCCTGGCCCCAGCGCCCTGCTCCCCGCCTTAGCTGCTGATCTGGAAATAAGTGGCAGAGTAACTATTTTGTTCTGCTCCGATAACATCATGGAAATTTTTAAAGCTTCTGGTGGAGAAAATTTTAAACAAACGCGAATGCAGAGGCGCGCGTGAGTCCTCGTGTGCCAGCATGAGGATGCCAACCATCGCCAGCTCATTGCCAGCCCTGCCGCCCCCTCCCCAGCCTGAGTGATTGGGGAGCGGACCCCCCACACTTACCCTT